TTGAGGTTTTTACTTTAGTCATCAAGTTCATGACTTCCCCCCTCCATGTTTTGTGCTATAAAAGTGATCATTTACTACGTTGTATTTGTATATGGAACTCAAAACTTCAGTGAAGTTGTGACCCATTTATATGGTTTACAAAGTTAAATTTCTCATCTTTATTTTAGATTTTAGATTTTGAAAAACATTTGTAAATTATTATAAATTATTTTAGAAGAAACTGCTAAAAATATGTATTGTGAGCCAAATATATGTATATATATTTATTTATTTTATTGCTAAATAAAATTAAATTACTCAAAGTAGGAAGAATTTTGACAAGCGCGTTCAGCGGAAGCAGTCTCCGCGTCGTTGGTCTATAAATTTTCTTCCGTCGGGTAAGAAAGTCTCAAGACATGTGAATGGCGGATTCCGTACCGTCTCCTTACCCCGACCCCGGCAATCTCCGACGAATCCCAGTCGACCTCTTCGCCTCCAAGAACTTCTCCAGCCACTCCGCCGGCGATCTCGCATTCGCCGATTCCTCCGGCAATCTCCTCTTCTTTGTCCGCAAGTCTTCTTCCTCCCTGAAATCTGTCTTCGATTCCTCCGGAGTTCTTCTTTTCTCGATCACTCGCCCCCATGTAAGCACTACGCTTCCGTAAATTCGCCTTTACATTCGAAAATTTCAGCGATTCATTGCTCTTGTACTTCGGTTGTTTCCTGTTAGTCCGTTAGCTTGATGGAATTGCTCGTGTGGGTTTTTCGAATTTTTTAAACGAATTTTACGGAAGAACAGATGGATCGGAAGCTATTTATTCTCTTCTGGTGTCTCGACATTGAAACATCACAAGATACTTTAGAAGTTGCCTTTCAAACCCATTAGCGTGGAGGAATATTGATGCAGCAACTTCATAAATATGGTCAAGATGTTTGTTCTTCGATGATGTTTTGTCTGAGTTAAGAAAGATAGGGAAGTTCTTATCTTAATCTTGTTCCTTGTTTCGGATTGGGACTCGATCAGTTTCAGTCTCGGTAGCTAGCTACTGCATTTGCTGACCTTCGTTCTTCTGCTTTTTCAAAGTGGACATTGTAATTTATAGCTGTTAACAAGCTTTATGAACTGAGATGTAGAGTGGAAAGTGGGAAGTGCATAAAGGAGACTTAGAGAAACAGGAGTTGGTTTTAACAGCCAAGCGGGCATCAAACAGATTCAGCAAGGTTGAATTAGAGGTGTCCTTTGCAGGACAAGGTTCCACAGAGCCGCGGCATCTGGTCATCAAAGGTTGCCCCTTTCAGAAATCCTGTACCATTTACAGTCAAGATTCCATCGTCGCACAGGTAAAATCTGTTCTTCCTCCCCCCTACTTTTTGAACTGAAAGTTCTAGAGAATTTGTTTAAATGTATGCAGAATGACTTTATGCTCGGGCATTTCCCCTGAGATGTTTGTTTCTGCAACTGTCTGAAACATGATGATGCATTATTCCAACTCTTTTGGAACCTGTTGAACTATTCCACCATTTCCATCAATTATTTTGGATCAAAGTAGGAACGAAAGGTATCTACATCATTCATGTGGAAGGGGCCCTTTTTTATGGATTCCATGGGTTAATCAGGGCAAAGCTTCATGCTTAACGGTTATGGACACAATGTCATACACGCACTTAACACCTCTGTTGGATAGAGGCCGTCTAAAAGGGTGTGAGCTCATGAACGTCATATAGGAACAATAATGGCAGGAATACACATGAATTCTGTTTGTATTCCGTGTTTGATCTAATTGCTTGCTTAACTTAGGCTTGCTATGAGCCTCATTAGGTTCTTTATGTTATTGTGCAGATCCTTTCCTGTGATATATGTGAGTAATATATGTGTGATGAATTCTGGTGCAGACGAGTCTGATGTACAAGCTGAAGCAGATATACGTGGGACGAAGCAAATTCCGGCTAACGATATTTCCGGGATCTGTGGATCATCCTCTGGTCGTAGCTCTGGTTGCTGTCTTCCTTGATGGCAGAAAATGATAACATCTTTTGCCTTGGTCAAGCCTAATCCGATTGTTTCAGATGTTGTAAGTAATGATTGAAAAAGATCCTTGTGACATGGAAATTTGCAGATTACGGCGGATATTATATCATATCCTACGATTATTTTTTCGTCAGAGTTTTGTATGGTCGAACAGGAGACAAGAACTGGTGGAAGGCCAATTCTCTCTGTCTGAACCAGTCCGAATCAGAAAAGTAACCCATTCTGTGGTTAACGGTTTGAGGGCTACGGTCGGTGGATTAGATTGGCATCTTCAGATTTCTCTTAACCAATCCAAACCACCGGTTTTTTCGAATGTCTATCTGGTCTATTTTCTGTAAAATCGACCGGTTTGGTTCGGTTGACGGCTTGATAAGAGGCTTCGAGCAAAAGAGTCGGTACACCGGAACCGGGCTGACGTGGTTTTAACGTTGAAACAAACAATTGATCCCTCCAAGAAAAAGGAAAAGGAAAGAAAGTATACACCTTGATCCATATGCTATCGTCTTCTTCGTCTTGCAACTCTCTCTCTCAAGTTCTTGTATTTCGTATGACCCTTTTCGTTGCGGCGGCAGACAGCCACCTCATTTTTCGATATCCGAGCCTGAGCTTATTTATAATCCTCTTGTGCTCGGCTCCTCCCAGGTATCTCTCTATACCAAAAATGTAGAATCTTTTCTGGGTTTCAAGTCAATTTCTTTCTCTTGTCACGCCATTGCAGCAGAGGTTATTTCCTACACTTGCGTGATTTCAGCAACTTTTTCCATGAATTTTGGAATGATTTGAACTGAACAGTAATCAAGATCTAGTCTTTCTATCAGCACGGCATGAGGTAAGGGCTTTTGGCTTGTAAATGTGTTTGAGCTTGATCAAATTTTCAAGATTCCTCCTTGTGTTTACCCGAATTTTGGATTTTTCTTCTTGCGGAATATGCCTGATGATGAGTTGAATATATGCAGGTTCTGACGTCTCCAACGACAGGGTTTTCCCCTAAACAGCGTCTGAATCGGGCAAACAATCACACATCGGCTGCTTCACAGCCGAAACCCACAAACTCATCCGTATGCATTTTCTTTATAAAAAAAAGTGTCAAAATCACAGACAACCGGACAAGCTTGATCTTTCCCTCGAGATTAACCGTTCTTTCACGGTCGGTTTCAGGTTTTGCAATCAAATTCTAGCCTTGAAGATCATACTTGGATCCGGAAATGCATCTGTGCCAAGCGTTTCTCGTAAGAAAGGCCGGAAAAGACGAGAGAAAAAGACAAACCAAATTCCGAGGCGCTCAGACAGAATTTCAAAGAACAAGGCCTTGCCTTCTCCCCCTGGCGCTCGTAATCATCCTAAGCCCGTGGGCATCGTGTCGTGAGATCATCCACCAGAGAATTCAGGAGTAAAACGTAACTGACTGAGAAAATTCATCAGCAAATCATATAATCTCTCTCGGACGTGTAAAGAATGCCGTATAGCAGGGAAGGAGATGCTGAAGTTAAGGAGAGGGGTAATGGTGCAAAGATTATATGAGAGTGTATGACGTTCCAACAAAATGATGGATAATGGTGAAAAGATATATGGTTTAAGATATTTCCCACTCGCCCCTTTTTGTTTTTCCCTTGAGAAAGTTCCAACTTCAGCCAGCTTCTTTGCATGGCAAGTAATAAGCAGACAAGAATTAAAGAGAGAAAAATAGGGCTCTACGTACGTGATACGTTACACCGAATATTAATCTGAAAAATTTAACCAAGGAAACGTTATGCAATTCTCATCGTCGCTTTTTTAGTCCATCGGCACTATTGGAAGGAAATCCACCAATCACGAAGCATTACAAAAAGAGCCAATTAATCTAATGTTTCTCCCCATCAACCAAACAAAAATAGAAAAAGGAAAATAAATAAATAAATAATGGCTGATTTACCAAGGAGCCGATCTATTTTCGTTGTTTACTAACAATAACAACATTAACCATCGTTTCTCCCGACACTAAGTCCTCCTCTTGTTCTGGGGATTAAACCAAAGTACAGTTCATGCGAATCTGCGTCAGATTGTTTCCTTCTGTTCCTTGCAATGAGGAGATAACGTCCACAAATCCTCGAGAGCCATAAATCGAATTCCCTTTTCTGTCCTTTCTGTATTGATCGATCGGTCATGGACCTGGATATGGATTTGCGGACCACGGCGGTCTTGGAGAAGCACTCGATGCAGAGGGCGAGGGTGCATGGGCCGGCGGTGGTCGAAGAGCTTATATGCCAAAGGAACCATATGTTGACTTCCAGAGGGGTGTTTTTGGGGAGTGATCCTCTCAAGTACTCCATGCCTCTTCTCTTGATGCAAATGGCTCTCATCATCCTCACCAGCCGTCTCGTTTTTCGATTCATCAGGCCCCTTAATCAAGGCATCATCTCTGCTCAAGTCTTGGTAACCAAATATTTATCTTTATTTGTCCTCTTTTCTTCGATGATATCCGAGTATCCGATATCCAAACTAATCTTGGGGTTGGGTAGGCATGTGATTTGGAATATATATCCCTCTCCCAAAGTTGAGTTTCGAATTCGGAACGAGAAAGATTTTTTGTGTACGCGTTTCATCTGATGAACTATCAAAGTTTGAGGTTCGAATTCGGGGTTTTTTTTTTTTGCGTCAAGTCCGATATAAAAACTTGAGAGAATTAATGTTAGATAACAGGCGAAAACTTTTGATAGATAGCATTGGTTAGAAAACAAAAGCAAAGTAATGTCACAATCCAATTTTTTTTTTTTAAAAAAAAGGAAAAGAATTCCACCTGATAGTTACAAACCAAACCCAAAAAAAAAAACTTTGCAATATTGTGTTCATTTCAAGACATGGTTGTTCAACAGATGATTTTTGTTGTTAATGTTTCTTTCCGACAATGGTGATGTGTGTGTTAATTAAACGTAAAATTGCAGGCTGGTATCATTCTAGGGCCGTCGGTATTAGGCCAAAGCGCCATATACACGGAGATGTTCCTCCCCGTGGGCGGGAAAATCACGCTTCAAACGCTCTCGAACGTCGGTTTCATCATCCACCTCTTCCTCCTCGGCCTCAGAATCGATCCGAGAATCATCAGAAAAGCCGGTTCCAAGGCCTTCCTTATCGGCGCCACCTCCTATGCCTTCCCCTTCACCGTGGGACACCTCGCCCTTATGTTCTTGAACAGAACCTACGATCTCCCCTTGCCCGTGATGAACGGTCTCACCGTGGCCATCCCTCTCAGCTCGATGACGTCATTTCCCGTCACCACCACCGTCTTAGCCGAGCTCAACTTCCTGAACTCCGAGCTCGGTCGGCTCGCCACCAACTGTGCCATTGTCTGCGAGTCCTGCAACTGGCTGGCCGCTCTCGTGTATGACCTTTACAGGCGTCAGCGAGCGCTCACCAGCTTCGGTGCGATCATGTGGATCGTCGCTCTCCTCTTCATCATCATGTTCGTGTGCAGACCCGTCATCATTTGGCTCACTGAGAAAAAAGCCCAGAACGTGAACAAAAACGATGAGATACCCTTTTTTCCGATTCTCGTGATCATGTTCCTGGTCAGCCTCGGAGCCGAAACGCTTGGCGTTCACGCGGCGTTTGGTGCGTTTTGGCTCGGAGTCTCGCTTCCCGATGGGCCGCCGTTGGGGACTGGGTTAGCCACGAAGCTGGACGCGTTCGCAACCACTCTGTTGCTTCCTTGTTTCATATCGATAAGTGGGCTCGAGACGAACTTCTTCGTGGTCGGAGACAGTCACGCGAACATGATGGAGGTCGTGATCCTTGTGACTTACGGATGTAAGTTTCTCGGGACGGCCGGGGCATCCGTGTACTGCAAAACGCAGGCTCGAGACGCGCTCTGCTTGGCGTTCTTGATGTGCTGCCAAGGCGTCATCGAGCTTTACACTTCCATCATGTATAAGGACGCTAAGGTAAAAACCGATCATATTTTTCTTCATCCTAAATTGTTCATAACTTCTTACATGTATGAGAACTGAATTTCGATAATCCGGAACGCTTTTTTTGCAGATTCTGAACACGCAATGCTTCAACATGGTGATCATAACGCTTCTTCTAGTGACTGGCGTTTCGCGTTTCCTGGTCGTGCACCTCTACGACCCGTCCAAACGCTACAAAAGCGCGAGCAAAAGGACCATCCTCAACACCAGACAACGAAACCTTCAGCTCCGTCTTCTTCTCTGCCTCTACGACGTGGAAAACATCCCTTCTCTAGTGAACCTTCTAGAAGCTTCCTTCCCGACAAGGTTCAGCCCAATCTCCGTCTGCACCCTCCACCTCATTGAGCTCAAAGGCCGGGCCCACGCGGTTCTCGTCCCTCACCACCAGATGAACAAGCTCGACCCCAACACGGCTAAGTCCACTCACATCGCTAACGCCTTTCTGCGTTTCGAGCAGCAGAACCAAGGCACTGTCATGGCTCAGCATTTCACGGCCGTGGCTCCGTTCTCGAGCATAAACGACGACGTTTGCACTCTCGCCCTCGACAAGAAAGCCACTCTAATCGTCATCCCTTTTCACAAACAGTACGCCATCGACGGGACGGTCGATTACGTGAACCCAGCCATTCGGAACATAAACCTTAACGTGCTGGAAAAGGCACCATGTTCTGTCGGGATGTTCATCGACCGGGGCGAGACCAGCGGATGCAGATCCGTCCTGATGAACCAGACGTGGAAGAACGTGGCCGTCCTCTTCGTTGGCGGCCCTGACGACGCGGAAGCGCTCGCGTTCTGCATAAGAATCGCAGAGCACCCAGACTTGAACGTGACGATGATACATTTCAAGCACAAGAGCTCGATCCACGACGAGAGCAGCAACAATAACGATTTCTCCGAGATCGAGCTGATCCACGACTTCAGGAGCTTGGCCATGAACAAAGGCAGTGTGAGTTACAAAGAAGAGATCGTGAAAGATGGCGTGGAGACCACGCAAGTGGTCAGCTCGCTGGGGGACAGTTACGACATGGTGATGGTGGGTCGAGACCACGACCTCGAGTCACCTGCGATGTACGGTCTGACAGATTGGAGCGAGTGTCCGGAGCTTGGAGTGATCGGAGACATGTTGGCTTCGCCGGATTTTCACTTCTCGGTGCTCGTGATTCATCAGCAGCCGGGTGGATCTCTGGCTTACGACAACAGCTACGCGTTGCCCGTCGCGAATCAGAAACTGGTCGGGGAATCTCGGGTACATCCTCGATTCTCTACCGAGGAAGGATTTATGACCGTCGACCTCGGAAAAGACTAGCAACAGGAATGACTTCGGTTGATTCATTTAGTGTATTTGTGAAGTAAAATACCAAAGGGATAGGTATTTGACTCCAAATTTTACGCTAGAAGATTAGTCCAATAATATTACCGTATATTAGATATCTTAGATTTTTTTATATATATGGCAATTAGAATTTTCTGAAATTGTATTTTTTTTTCTAAATAATGAAGAAAAATAAGGATAGCCTCCAATGTGTCCGGAATATGGTTTTGATAAATCAGGCCCAGGCCCATTTGAGGCCCAAATTTTACGAAAGTGTGTTCCACGGACCAATATGAATGTCCCGTAGAGAGAGAGAGAGAGAGAGAGAGAGAGAGAGAGATGGATGGATGTCTGAGAGAGATGGGGCAGAGAAGAGGGGAATCCACGTGAAGACATCCGAATCAGATGCTACGCCAGCTTTCATTTTTCTTTTTTTTTTTTGGTTAAAATAATTTTTATTTTTATTCTCTTTTAGATTTTGGAGATGTCACCATCTGCCACCTTTTTCGTTCCAGCAAGAAATTCTCTCTTTTCAATTTTCCATGTTAATTCAATTTTAGATCTTCTTCTAGTCATATTTTGAAATCGTTCTCCGTATTACATGTATATATATATATGTATATATATAAAAGATGATAGTGTGATGGAATAGACGTCTGGATTTCTTGGCATATCTTCAAGATTGTGCATATAGATGATTTACTTTAGTTTTTTAAACTGTTGATCACTCAGAATTTTGTAAATAATTTGGGGAATATATATTTAGTATCTGGTACAGAAAAAGAGAATTTTTATTTTCTTATGATTCTTCATGCATAATCATTGAGCCTTTCTTGTCCATATATATATATATATATATATTTTATATTTTTTTTGGTTTTTCTTTATATAAATTAAATGCATATAATTGAATTGAATTTCCGAAATGTATGGTTTTTATATCTCTTGAAAGGCTTTTCCATTGGTCCACCTACATGTGACAGACAACATGTATGATGAGCCTGACCTGACGTACAACTCTTTTGTAACTCTGCCGACTCGAGTTCCCATTATTATTATTATTGTTATTATGAGAGAAATTCCAAAAAATTATTATTTTTATTTAATTTAATTTCCCACAAATGATCATCTCCACGTATGTGATTATAAATCTATAGAACAAAAAAAGTTATATAGTTTTCATGTCATTATGGTAGGTAGTATAACATTGGACACAAAAGAAGTGCATGTGGTACGATAGAGATGAAGGGTTATATGGATATGTGAATTATATATTGATCGTACGATCATAAGTACCGGTTGAAATTTAGGATCTTGTCTTCATTTCCACTGATTCGAAATTACGACAGCAATTTAACACAGATCTTATCCACACTACACAATTTTTGTAATAAATAAATAAAAATAACAAATAAAATAAGAAAGAAAATGATATCTCTCCGGAGATGTTAAAAAATATATAGAAATCCGGCTTCCCGACAAAAAACAAAAATTAATCCTCGGCGATGCTATTCAGGTGAGGCTGCCACGTGGACACCGACGCCGTTCGGCTGTGTCTCCGGCGGTTACGGTGACGTTTTCCGGCGATGGAACCTAACTTCTCCGACGATAACACCGCGTCTTCCAGATACTTCTCACACAGAGTCGAACTGTGGTTGCCGTTGCTATTACTCATCTTGTTCACGTCGCCGTCGCCGGAAAGCGTGTTTTTACGGCGCCGGAGATCTTTCTTCTTCTTTTTCTTCTTCTCCGACAAGGAAGAATCCGGGATCAAGAAGTAGATGCTTCCGCGCTTGAGCTCAGATTCCGGAGACAAGATCAAGATTTTTCGGACAACGCCCTGAGAACTGGGTTTGCTCAGGACATGATTAGGGTTTGCCTTCAGGATCTCTCCGGCAGTCACCGGACGGGTGATCTCTTCGACATAGCCGTTGAGATGTACGATTCTGATCAAATCTAGGGCTCCGCATGGGAGAACACATGCCAAACAACATCTTAGGTTGTTCCCCATATATCTTGGAACTGATCGATGATCTGTTGATCTCTCTTTTTTCCTCTGTTTTTTTCTCAGAGAATCCTCAGATTTTTTTTTTTCGTGGTGGTCTTTCTTGTTTTTTTTTTTTTTATGAGGAGGAGCGAGTTGGAGAAGACGATGTTATATAGGAACGACACTTCACGTACCAACAAAGCGGGCTCGACCATTTTGTATTGCGTATTGCGAAATTACCAAAGCACCCTTGCTTATTCTTCGTATTAACTCGAGCCGCCCTCTCTTGCTCGGAGTACAAAGGATTTATTATTATTTATAAAATTAATTGCAACTAATGTGGTATATTATCCTTAATCGAAGAAACATCGACTGTTACTCGAATCATTGAGTCTATTAAAACACATATCTAATAATGTAATCACTTGCAAATCCAACCATTTCTAACATTCCACTTACATGCACCCCAATATATACAAGCCGTTCTTAATTATAAAATATAAAAGTAATAATCTCACAGTATGTATATGTGAAAAGTTTTCACAAAAATTAAAAGAATAAGTTAGGAAAATTCATCTTTAAACTTGGTTTTTTCCCACGAATATTATATATATATATATATGGACTTCCGTTATTATATTGTGTGTACACATATATAAACATAATCTGTATTCTGTAACATACGCCCTCTAGTTATATTTGTATTTACCATGTGCACATGTGATATTTTGGTAATAGCGATTCTGTGGTCTCATGTTTCTATGTTCTAATGGAGGTTAATTAATTAATCCAATTAATGAAAAACGGTTAATTAGCAAAACAACCAAATAAATCGAGTCAAAAATATTCTGACGCTATCAGACAAATTTCCACAATATATATATATTTTTTTATATCGCTTCCTGTATTTTAATTTCTCGAATAATTCCAAATCTCGAAACTAGAAGCATGTTGGGATTAGATAAAGTAATTATAAATAATAATGTTAACCGAGTTTTACGGGCTGGAAATCGAAAACTCCTATGAAGTAACCCTTACGGTTTATATTATATTCATGATCATATTATATTAACTCTACTGTTAGTATTTAAGTTGGATTCGATATCCATGTTGGAAGCAACAAGCCATTTGCTTAAGCTTTTTTCATTGTGTAATTAAGAATTCAAACAGTTCAATTTCAATTATTATTGGTTACAATCAAATTAATAGAATTAAAAAAAATCAGATAAGACATTACAATGACGAATATGCATATATATATGCTCATTTTTTTTAAAAAAAAAAGGAATAACTAGTGTTGATTAGGCTTAATGAGTATTAAAATTAGGATTAATTTAACTGAAAGCAGCAACATGGTCATGCTCAGACATCGCGAATATAGGCATGGGGGGAACGATATAAACAGATTAACAAACTCTTCAATGCCTTGCGACTATATAATATAAACCTTTTTATTTTGGAATATTTTATTATGTACGGGCACCAAATTCCATTTATGGACTCCTGTATTCAATTTTTTTTTAAATTTATGTGGACTAGCTTACAAGATCTACAAAGAAGGTGTTCTGTACAATATGTCTTAAAAATCTCATATTTTTGGACCGTTTGTGTACTAATCACGTGTTTTGGAGTGTCTTTTTTGCCTTGGAAAAATGTCAATTCAACGAATTTAACCATGCAGAACAGAGAACAAAATCCCAGCTGTCCTGTGATGACGTGGCATATATTATTATGTAGCTAACGCGATTTAGTAATGATACGTATTTATTAACTTTGATTCCTTTATACATAGTTTTTACTCTATTAATGATTTAATTCATAATTGGTGCACCATAAGCGGGCCATTTAATATATATATATATATATATATATGTATTATAATATATTAAATTTGCGTGTCTGCGGTACTTGATTAAATTTTGTTGTAAAAGATGTTCGTGGCCACTGGCCATTACGACACTCTACACCGTACGTACGTACTTTGTATGCGTACTTAGCTAAAACTTCGGCAACTTGCATGCGTCGCTTACGTACGATCGGAAAGCTCACTCTTAATTCAGCCATCCGTATGTACTTATTATAATGTCTGATCGTATTTAATATCCGGTCAAAGCAAAAGAAAATAGCTTTGGGTATAGATTGAGCAAAAAAAAAAAAAAACTTTTATGTGTCGCATAAATTCAATACTATAAGATCTAAAAAAGAGAGCAAGAAAATAAAATGAATATTTGATTCCATAGGCTATAACGAGATATACGTTACATAAAAAAAATAAATAAAGAACTATTATTAGATTTAATTTGTATAGAGTTTAGACATTACTATCTCTCATATTTAATTTGTATTTATTTATTTCTTACGGATATAAAATAGGAATTGCAATATAAAAAACTATTTTTGTTCATCGAAACAAATTCAATCATCAAAATAATATACAAATGTAAACCACTGTTTTTCTAACAACATTGAAAACATAGTTATTGTGAGACAAAGAGGAAGCTTCCTAGAACCAAGGTTGGACGCCAAGCGGCGCTGAAACTAAACATAATTAATTAATGTATGCTTAATTAATTAATTTTTAATTAAATATGCACGGGGCGTTTCACAAGATTCTTAATTACGAGACCTAATCTTAATTATGAAACTTAGGCTTAGTTAATGCCATCATAATTGAGGAACGTGAGCCAAGTCTGTCTTTGCGGAATTATTGATAACTTCCGCGGTGATCAAATATATTAATAATGCCGATGTTAACTACGGTTAATTTCATCGCCATTATCATTACAAAACCTTGACATAAGTTTTTTCAATTTTTTATCGAACCTTTCTATTAATTCTAAATTATCATTACCCGTAACACGGAATTAATTAAATCCGTATAATTTACATATACATTAAACATAAAATATTTCTATTAATCCATATATGGCAAATGATTTAACAAAATCAAAAGTAAAATGTTTAAATTTAGATGAAGGAATAGAAACAAATTAAATACATGAAACCATTACACGGGTTCCACTTTTTCCATGAATGATTAATCAACTTTGTCCATACCCATTATCATCATAATATTATTAATCGTATCATTGGCGTACCAAAGATACCACCCTAACCCTATTATATTGACGGGGCAACTACCGTGGTACTTTGCCTTTTGATTAAATCCTAACTATTAAACATATGATTAATTTAATTCAGTTGCTTATCTCTAGGAACGGCTGCACATTATTTTATGGCCATTATAAAGATGTCACATAAATCGATCACCTTGTGGCAATTTACATGAAAACAAATAAATAAATAAATGGCAATATATATATATATATAGATGGATAGATGTCGGTCAAAGTGTTCAATGAATCCAACGTCTCGATATTTAAACTTAGATTTTTTTTTTGGTAATCTTTAAACTTAGATTTTACATTTACAAACTTCTCTAATCTTCCTAAATACAAGTGCGTTAAATATATATAGGTACGAGACTTAAATTATATATACAAATATGTCGTTTGGATCTATATAAATAACCTCACTTCAAATTAAGACAACATATTATAAAAGATAAATGTAAGATTTAAAAACTTATCTACAACAGCAACAACAACAATGCAATAATAATGATTTATAATTAGCAATGTTCTTCTCAAATACCAATCACATCTTGTTTTATAAACATTTTTTTTCTAAATCCATAGAACATGTATAATCTCTAATAATATTTCCAATCTTATATATATAATTTATATTAAATCAATGCACAAAAATCATTGAGTTTATATTTGGAGTTATAGTAGTTTCCTGTGTTTCTTCAAAACTGTATATACTTTCACATATCTATTGGGATATGAATGATGATTGCTTTTAACACCAGAAGATTACGAATGATTCGGAATCGAGGAAGATGTGATTTAGTTTTGTTTATTTTTTTTCCTATAACAATAGAAAGCATATATTATAATAAAACGTACCATTAATTGGTACGTGGGGGAAGAACCTGATCGAATAATGACAAAGAAATGGACATGACATGACATAATACGCGAGTTCTTCAGCTTAGATATTGGGAATATCTCCACACGTTGGTCGAGATCCACTCTCGTGTACAAAATCTTCTTCGGTCAGTAAACAATCTCTGTCATAATTGATATCGGTCCACGCAATTTTTTTTTGGATAAATCGGTCCACGCAATTCTGCTATCTAAACTAGGGGTTTATGGGTGGACGTTTCGGGAAACGGTTCGGTTTTTTCGGTTTTACAAAAATAGATACCAATCGATTTTTATATTGTGTTCGGTTCGATTCGGTTTCGGTATCGGTATCGGTATCGGTTCGGTCCACTTCCAAGTCTTCGATACCCAACCTAGAATATGCTGGGTCGGGCCTGGTTCACTCAATGGGCTCGTTTTTTTTCTGGATTTATTAGTACTGTTAAATAGGCCCATATATATTATCCACTGAAGGCCCAATATACCATCCATAACTTACTTTCCAAAAATTAAAATAAAAACTCGAAAATATTAAAATTAAGAAGCAATGCAATCAACAAGTTGTTACTCCTTCCCTTTCGATATAATTGTTATTTTAGATTTTTTTCACAGTTTTTAATTTTTTTTTTAAAAAGTCATATATACACCCTTGTTAAATCATATTCACATTAATATTCTATTGAAGTTTGATATTTTTAATTAAGAATAAAATTGGAAGTTTTTATTAAAAATTACCTAGAAAATCTAAAATGACAATTATTTAGAAACAAAAAATAATCTCTAAAACCACAAATATTTTGAAACAGATGGATGGAGTATTATTTATAGCAAAAAAAATATTATTATTATTATTATTATTATTTATTAATTTGTAAGACTGGTGCGGAAAAAGATGTAACTGAAATAACATAAAATATAAGCAGCATGATCCTCACATTTTTTTTTAATTAACCCAAGGTGTCAATTTACAGGCAGCCTAATTCAAAGAGAAGGTCTACATGGTTAGCGTGTGGATTAAGTAACCTAATGCATTTTATAATTTGATGGGCCGGATCTGTTAAACCAAATATACACAACAGATTGACAAATTTAATTTGTTATAAAAAATATAATTATGTAATAATTTAATAACCTAATATGATCATGCGCTTTGAATTAGTTTGTAAGATTGATTGGCACTTAACGTATCACCATAGGATTATACGTAGTTTGTAGCATCTCCGAGCACATTCCAAGGGTTATAGATGCAAATAACCTTGGTCAATAATATGATAAAATGGACCGTTTATGCATAAGTATACGTATTTTGCCACGATGTAAATATTTATACGATCTATTTGAATGGACTCTTCCCACTTAAACCTTTACATTTATAAATAACCAATCAACAGGGAATCTTAGTACCGAATTGTTCTAGTTGGTGAACCAAATCAACTAAATCCTCCTGTGGACATGTTTCTCCTCGTTGCTGAATTTAAACCTAATTTGTTTTTCATATTATTTTCAATATTTAAAATTATACAAATAGTCCAACTGCTTCACATTTAGTTAGAGAGTGTATGAAGTATAAATACCTCTTCCCTCCTCCCATTCAAAACTCGCCACCTTCCACTTACAGAGACCTTCACAAGACTGACAACAATGGCGTCTCTTCCTCAGGCTCCCCCCCGATTCCTCGCCATTCTCACCTGTTTTACTCTTCTCGCTTCTTTCGCCTCTGCCGAACTTCACGTCCGTGAATTCGTGGTAAGTTCTTCGATCTCGATCGTGTCCCTTTTTTAAAATGTTGATCCCTTCCGAGAGATGATAAGAAACTCGGCTCGTTTCGTGGGTTAGATCGAGGCGAGGCCGGTGAAGAGGCTGTGCAGAACTCATCAGACCATCACGGTGAACGGTCAGTTCCCTGGTCCGACACTCGAGGTCAGAAACGGTGACTCGCTCGCCATCACCGTCATCAACAAAGCTCGATACAACATCAGCATCCACTGGTAAAATACTTCACCCTTTTTAGATAAAGACATAACTTGCCGCGCAAGTAACTGACACTCCCACACTCAAAACTGCTTTCTTTCTTGTGTCCTGTTTTCCGACAGGCACGGAATCCGACAGCTTCGGAACCCATGGGCGGATGGACCGGAGTACATAACGCAGTGTCCAATCCAACCGGGTCAGAGCTATACTTACAGGATCATGATCGAGGGGCAAGAGGGTACATTCTGGTGGCACGCCCATAGCCGGTGGCTCAGAGCCACCGTCTATGGAGCTCTCATCATTTATCCACGACTCGGCTCTCCTTATCCTTTCCCCATGCCCAAGCGAGACATCCCCATTCTTCTCGGTAAATAATAGACAGACTCGCTCGTACAGGAAGGTTAGACCTTTCTCTGACATTGTCACTCTCTGTTCGTGTCTGAAACCAGGGGAATGGTGGGACAGAAACCCCATGGATGTCCTGAGATTAGCTCAGTTTACCGGAGCAGCACCAAATGTCTCCGACGCTTACACGATCAATGGCCAACCTGGTGACCTATACCGTTGTTCCCGCCAAGAAACTGTTCGTTTTCCGGTGTTTCCTGGGGAGACAATCCAGCTCCGCCTCATCAACGCTGCAATGAACCAAGAGCTGTTCTTCGCCATTGCTAACCACCCACTCACAGTCGTGGAAGTCGACTCAGCTTACACCAAACCCTTCACCACAAGCGTCGTCATGATCGCTCCTGGTCAGACCATGAACGTACTCCTGACCGCAGACCAACGTCCCGGCCGCTACTACATTGCGGCCCGAGCCTATAACAGCGCGAATGCGCCCTTCGACAATACCACGACTACTGCAATACTGGAATACGTCAACACACCTCGTCGGACCGCTCCAACCTTCCCGCGTCTGCCCGGTTTCAACGACACGGCCACGGCGACTGCTTTCACGAATCGGCTACGGTCCATGAGAAGAGAAGGGCTACCACTCGAGATCGACGAAAACTTGTTCTTCACCGTGGGGCTGGGACTCATCAACTGCACAAACCCGAACAGCCCTCGTTGCCAGGGCCCGAACGGGACGAGGTTTGCGGCCAGCATGAACAACGTCTCGTTCGTGCTCCCGAGGCGAAACTCGCTGATGCAGGCTTATTACCAGGGAACTCCGGGAGTTTTCACGGTGGATTTCCCGCCGGTTCCGCCCGTGAAATTTGACTACACCGGAAATGTGAGTCGCGGGCTGTGGCAGCCGCGTCGGGGGACCAAAGTTTACAAGCTCAGGTACAAGGCCAGAGTTCAAATCGTGTTGCAGGACACGAGCATTGTCACACCAGAGAATCATCCTATGCATCTCCATGGTTACCAGTTCTACGTTGTCGGGTCGGGTTTTGGTAATTTTGACCCGAAGAGAGACCCGGCTAATTTCAACCTCGTTGACCCACCGGAGAGGAACACCATTGGAACGCCACCCGGCGGTTGGGTCGCGATCCGGTTCATCGCTGACAATCCCGGTAATTATCATATCCCCTGATCCGTAAAACCTAAACGAGTAATGAAATTGAATCTATTCGATATAAGACAATCTCGATTTCTATAATCTGAATGTTTACGCAGGAATCTGGTTCATGCATTGTCACATCGACTCGCACCTCGGGTGGGGTCTTGCCATGGCGTTCCTGGTGAAGAACGGGAAAGGAGAGCTTCAGACGGTGCAGCCTCCGCCGTTGGATCTTCCGAGATGCTAAACCAGACGCCATCCTCCACCGTTGGATCTGTACTTTTCAATTTCTAGGTTTTGGATTTTGTCATATGCCCTAAAGCTGGATTGGGCGGATTATCGTTTGGGTTTCTTCTTCAAAGATGTACTTTTGATTTTTCTCGATCGAATGTTTTCGAATCCAAATACGCAAAAGTATATGCGCTTCAATAATACTATTTAATCAATTATATTTTAATATTAATTTTAAAAATGAATATGGAGAGGAAAATTCACAGCCAGAGGATGAAAAGATAGGCCCAAAACGTTGCCTTGCTGACGAGCTTTCCACCACCAGTCGAAGGCCTTCATAGTTTACATCAACTGTAACTGATGATCGCCTCCTCCAACTATGGCTTCCCTTTGCCTGAATTCTTTACCTCCTCTCCCTTCTTCTCATCCCCAGAAGCTTCTAGACCCTTCTTCTTCGTCTTCTTCTTCTTCTCCTCATCCCTCGCTGAGCACCAAGTGTACGGATCTTGCTCTGAAGCCCATTGTCGTCAATGGCGACCCACCCACGTTCGTATCTGCCCCTGATCGTCGTATTGTCGCAGGTTCGTCACGAAAACTTTATAAAGGTCGAATCTTTGAGTGTCACAGTTGACGTGGAACGGAAATTTTCCCTGTTTGGTGTTAGATTCTGTGATTTCGCAGTGTAATATGAATTCTTTTTTCTTTTGGGTATTTGCGCAGTTGGAGACCTCCATGGGGATCTTGGCAAAGCGAGAGCTGCGCTTCAGATGGCCGGCGTCTTGAGTTCTGACGACAGAGACCAATGGATTGGCGAAGACACTGTATGTTCTGTATCATCCTTTAGTTACTCATTCCACAAACACCAAACAAAATTTCCGTAATTTTTTTCAGAATTCTTCCAGTAGTTATCTGTGGAATTGCCTTGGAATTGGGATTTAGGAAATGCGCAGGGTTTAAGCGGTCACCAAGTTCTGTATATGCAGATGCAGTTTCAGTGATTTTTGAGTGTGAAGTGGCTTTTCTCAAAGACCAACTTCGATTCACCTGATTTATTTTTCTTGTAATGCCATGGAGAAAATATTGTTTATCTTTCGACTTTTCAAGAAATTGTGTAAGATCATCAAGCTTAACCCTTTTCAAAAGTTTTGGTTCATGCTAACTAGATGAATAGAACTAAAGTTTTTGCCTTTCTCCCCTAATACTTGTTAATGGGAAACGGTCGTTGTCCTCTCGCAACTCTCAAATAGAATCAGCATTGGTGGGGCGTCATTTGGATGGATAACAACGTATGTGACGATATGAATCTTTGAAACATGAAGGTATTAGTTCAGTTGGGAGATATCCTCGATCGTGGTGATGAAGAGATCGCGATACTTTCATTGTTGAGGTCATTGGATTCTCAGGCAAAGGCTAACGGTGGAGCTGTCTTTCAGGTTCGTGTGACTGAAATTTGAAATGTAACTACGGGTTTTAATTGCGTCTTGGTTCGCTGTTCAGGGTATTTGATGGAACATAGTAGCTTTTAAATCTTGTTCGGTTGGTGTATCACATTGGTCACATAGTAATGATACCGTTTTTTTTTCTGGGTTTAGGTTAATGGGAACCATGAGACGATGAACGTTGAAGGAGATTTCAGATATGTAGATATGGGGGCATATGATGAGTGTTCTGATTTTCTCGAGTACTTGTCTGACTATGCGCAAGACTGGGACAAAGCATTTACCAACTGGATTGTCGAGTCAAGAAAATGGAAAGAAGATAGGAGACGATCCAAAAACCATTGGGATCAATGGAATGTGGTGAAGGTACTGAAAACTTCTTTACTCCCTTATGCTTATAAACATTTTTTCTAGTCAGATGTTCAGTGGTTCCTTTGAGTTTAAGGTGCTGCATCTGCATGTGTCTGATGATGATAAGTTATGCGGAAACATTAGGACAGAGGCAAAAGGGGGTGATTGCAAGATCGATACTTTTCAGACAAGGTGGCCGGTTAGCATGCGAATTGGCCCGTCATGGTGTTATGCTGAGGGTTAACAATTGGGTTTTCTGCCATGGCGGCCTTCTTCCCCACCACGGTACATATAACCATCTCTCTCATGAGTTCATTTGTATCTTTCCTCGATATGGTGGCCTAATCGTTTTCTGCAAGTTTTTTCTGAGTGTCTACGCTCTTTTTATCCTTGGAATAGTTCCAATAGTCAGCTCGTCCTCAGGACGAAGAGGCTTTAGTCTTATAATGTCTGAAATGCCTAATAGGAGTATGTTGTTACCTCCACAGTCGCTTACGGCTTAGAGAGGATGAACAAGGAAGTCTCTGAATGGATGAGAGGATTAGGTGACACTGAAGAAGAGAGTCCTGACATGCCTTTCATCGCTACCCGGGGCTACGACAGCGTAGTTTGGAGCCGACTCTACTCTAGAGATGCCTCGGATCTTGAAGACTATCAGATTAACCAGGCAAGTTGTTATACAATGTATTACCCGCCTTTTACTTCCATGTCTCTCAAGTGATACACAAAGATTGGTTTTTCCCCATCAGATAAGTAAAATTCTCCGGGAAACTCTGGAAGCGGCTGGTGCCAAGGGAATGGTGGTCGGGCATACTCCACAGCTCTCGGGCATTAACTGGTACTTGTGTCCAAACCCTTCTACAGACATTCCGGTTTTTTGCTGTCTTAACATGATAGAGTTTGAGTATGAGATTGAATCTATTCATAAAAATGCTTCACACCATATGATCAAGAATGATTCATCATGTATCATGTATGTCATATAATGAAATGTGGGTTTTTATTTATTTATTTATTTATTTATTTGCAGTGAATACGATTGTAGTATATGGAGAGTCGATGTGGGAATGTCCAGCGGTGTTCTTGATTCTAGACCTGAGGTATGTATTCACACCGACTTTGACCACACATACACATGCACATACACATACACATACACATACACATACACATACACATACACATGCACATACACATACACATACACATACACATAATGGTCGGGGGTTGTATTCTGCAGGTTCTTGAAATAAGAGGGGACAAAGCGAGAGTAATAAGTAGCAAAAGAGACAGATTTCATGAACTACAAGTCGCAGATTACGTATAAAAGCTTGAAAGAGTCTCAGATTTGTATTTTTCAAAGATGTAAACTTTACGGTCCGTATAATTAAAACATGATGGCGGCTCGAGAGACTCCGACAAGATGTTGTTTCGTATGTGTAAAAAGTGTCCATGTCATGTAGAATGATGTCTTATGTGTTCATAATCATAAGCTTCGTTTTGAATCTTCTTCCCAAATTTTGCATGACCATATAATTAACAATTAAAAACAATGAAAAGTTATTATGGTATGTTGTTAATTTTTAGAATAAATTAACAAACTAAAATGTTTTTATATATATTATTTATTTTCAGCCTTTTTCTTTAGGTTATTTTTAATATATTAAAATTGTAGCTATGTTCATTTGGCAATATATCACAAATATCCTTACTTTGCTATTTTGACTTCAAGTTATACTATTCTTCAACTGTGATCCTGTGTGACCCATGTGACCAGAAATTTAATATTGGTCATATTGGTCATAACATTGAATTTATAAATTTTTTATCAAATGATTAGTGAAATATATAAGGTATGAACATAATGAATGAGTGTGATTATTGTAAATTTAACGTTATGGTCAATATGAGCAAGATTAAATTTTTGGTCACATAGATTATAGGGTTACAGTTGGAGAAGGAATTTAATATTGGCCATATTGGTCATAACATTGAATTTATAAATTTTTTATCAAATGATTAGTGAAATATATAAGGTATAAACATAATGAATGAGTGTGATTATCGTAAATTTAATGTTATGGCCAATATGAGGAAGATTAAATTTTTGGTCACATGGATTATAGGGTAACAGTTGGAAATTGGTATACCTAAAGTCAAAATAGTAAAGTAAGGGTATTTTTATAATACCCGTTCATTTATATATGCTTTGTGGGATTAAAAGCCATTGATGCAGGTTATAAAAAAAAACACATTTTCTTCACCTGTATGCATTTGCTTCACCGCACTCTCATCGGGGAATATTACTCAAATAACCCATTTGGGTCGCAGCAATTTCAGTGTACACCACCGAAAAAAAAAAAATTTCAATTTTAACCCACTTTTTGGTTGGAAAAGTCCGAAATACCATTTTCGTTTTATTTTTTGCGACCTTATTCGACTAACATATAACTGATATACCACTAAAATAAGACAGATGATTTTTTTGCCACCTTTTTTAGAATCAATTGTAACTATATTTAGAATTAATTACGAAGTCGTAATAACGAAGTTGTTTTCGAACGGATAAAAATCGCGTATTCATTAAGGGTAATTTCCTCTTTTCACACGAAAAAAAAGTGTTATGTTTTTTCTGGTGTACACGTGAAATAGTGCGACCGAAGTCGCTCATTTGAGTAAAATTCCCCTCTCATCGGGGCAAACTTCAGGAATGCACCTTTGGTGTCGCACGGGTTTCATGGATACACCACAAAAGCATAAGCAATTATCAAATTACAACGTTACCCTTAAAAAAATTGGAAAAAGTCATTCATACCCTTAATAAAACACGTGTGAGTAAATACCCACGTGAGACATGAGAGTGAGCTGAAAACCTTAATGAAGAAGAACGTGTGTCAATATCCACGTGTGAATTAAAAAAATCAGCCACTAATAATAAAAATCTGAAACAAAAAATCAGAAAATAAAAATCCTCGATTTGAAAACAAAAAATCAGAGAAAAAAATCCGTAGAGAGAGAGGTCGATGAAGAGAAATTTGTATCGAAATTGACCAAAATCGTGTAAAATCGACCGAAATCGTACAAAATCGACCGAAATCGAACGAAAAAAATACATAATTGTGAAAAATGAAAGGGTCGCCTTCGTCTTCATCAAACGAGAAAGGTTCAAGTGGGTGCATCTAGGTTGGCCGAAAAAGCATATATGGAGAGGAGAATGATAACGATTTCTTCTTCTGATATCGATATTAGTATTTCGACTCATTTCTTCGATTGGATAAGAAATTTGGTTTGGGTTTAACATTTAAAAAGTTTGATTGAGGAATAACGGTAGAAATTTGGTTTTGGTCGCCCATTTTATGTGATGTTTAGAGTTCGATTCCAGTTTTCGTTGATATTATGTTATGATTTTGTCCACCGAAAATAGAATTCTATTAGGATTTTAACGATACGAATAAAATTTCGATAAAAGTATATTTTAAATATTTTTATATGAAAGTAATGGAATTCTTAGAAAGCATATGAATTATATTGTAATTCATCTATCGTACCCAAAAAATAGTATCAATTACTCTAAAATCAAATTTATTCATAAATAAACTAAATATAGGAAATTGTAGATACTGCAAAAAAAAATTGTAAATAATGAGTGAAAATTGTCATAAAAAAAGTAGTTGTAATTGAGTCGTTTTTATTCGGGAAGCAAATTTGTGCATAAAAAAGATAAAAAATTAAAATAATATATAAAGCCACGTGGATAAAATAACTAGAGAAAATGGGTCCAAACAGGAAGGAGTCAGTAATATTATCTCGAGAATCGGTCACAACCACATATTTACGACTTGATTACGACTTATTTGCCACTATAGAAATTTTGTAAATTTGTTAAAAATATCGCGAATTTCGACAAGTCAAATAATGATGGAATACAACAATAAACTGATATTAATCACGTAAAATTGTTTCATAAATTAACAATTTTAATAAATTTCAACAAATTTGATATTTTGATTCAATTCATGTAATTTGATTGAATATGTGAGTAGTTGTTTAATAAAATTTAGTGTTACATGTTTATAAATGTACAAAATTTTAATTAATTTATGACTTGTGAGCTAAAACTTATTCTCTTTACATAATTAGTTTATACTTTTCATCTGTATAATCCTTATTAATAAAATACAAGTTTTAATCGAAAATTTTAGTTGATTCGTGAAGTCGCATATAAGTCGTATTTAAGTCGTTATGAACGAGTACAGAAAGTCGTATATAATTACGATTCGATTACGACTTATTTGTTACTAACGAATTATCATAAAATTATTCAAAAATCGAAAATTTTTGATTTGTTTTTGTCAACCGATGATGAAGGCATTTTCAATTAAGTGATAGTAATCGGTTTGCATTAATATTTTCAACAAATTTAATATTTTTATGCAGTTTATATAATATGGTTGAATGTGTTTATATAAGTTTAATATATATTAGTGTTGCATGTAAAGAAATGTACAAGATTTTAGTAAATTTGTGATTTATGATCTTAAACACTTAATCTTGATATAATTAGTATATATTCATCATCTTTCGAAGATATATCGATAAAATACACTTTTTACGTTATATTTTTTCTGATTCGTGAAATCGCAAATAAGTTTTAATAAAGTCGTAATAAGTTGGTTATTCCCGTTTTTCGGTACGTTAGACATTTTAAACTTTTTGATTTTTTTAATATTTTTTTTTGACCGACGTGTTTCAATATGTTTTTTACTTATTTTGACTTTTGATTTTTTTTAACTAATTATTTGGCACTTACGAACAATTTCATAATTGTAACTTAATAATTGATACTGATTTACGACTTTAGTAGATTTTTCAGGATAATTTAGAAAAACATACTAAATAATCAATCCATCAAAAAATTCATTATATTAGTAATTTTAAACTGACTAAATATATATAAAACAAATTCTTTATGTATAATTTGATTTGCTTTGTTATAAATACAAATGAATCTTCTCATTATCTTCATATCTTTATCATTAAAACTAAAATTTCGGTTTTTATCACTATTTTCATCTTAATTTTAATCAATAATATCAAAACGCACAATAGAAATAACTACACAATAATAATAATAATAATAATAATAATAATAATAAGAAGAAAATATTGGGTTTTATTATTATTTTATATATTCGTTCGAATTTCGTAAAAAGAAACACAAAAAGAGAAGATTTTTTTTTTCTAATTTCAACCATTAATGGCGCTTTTAAACATAGAGGGGAGAGAATATTGTGGGAGGAGAGAGAATAAATTTGTTTTTTTATTTTTATTTTAAATATATAAGAATATTTTAGATATTTTGTATATAAGGTTATATTGGTCATTTTGTTTGAAATGAGGTGTAAAATCTGATAAAAAAAATTTTTAGAATTTTTGAGGTGTATCGATGAAATCAATGCGACACAAAAGGTGTAATTGTGAAGTTTGCCCCTCTCATCGTACGCACTCCTCCGGCGTCTCTTATCCTGCGCACCCTTACCTCCGCCATGGCCGCCGTCGCATTTTCATCCTCGTCCTCCATCCTCCTCCATCCCGTCTCCTTCAACAAGCTGAGCTTCACCAGAAATGCGTCCCAGAGCTTCGCCGTCAAGAATCTCGGCCGATCTAGGGTTCTCATGAGCGCCTCCATCGGATCTCAGACCACCGCCGAGGACGCCTTGTTCTCCGATTACAAACCCTCCTCTGCATTTCTCTTTCCCGGCCAGGTACTCTGTTCTCTCTCTCTCTCTCTCTCTCTCTCTCTCTCTCCGCGTAGTGTCTGATTTCCGATGAGTGAATTCTTTATAGGTTGGATCATGCGATGCCGGTAATGTGGGTTTCGATATGTGACATTCGAGATTTCGAAATGCCGAATTCGATTGTACAACGCTGAAAATGCGGAGAATTAGCCTGAATTTTGAAAATCCCAGACTTCAGATTATGTTTAGGATTCGTACTGTTTAGCTAGTTGCATTATGATAGAGCCCCGACCATTGAATCCCATTGTTTTGCTTTGTATCACATTCAAGTTTGTTTAGATTGAAGTAAAAGAACCAATATACTCTGAGATCCAAATCTTCTGCCAATGTTGCTTCCTGGGTCTTTGGAAGTGCCCCAGAATATAGTCATCTCCATTGTTCGAGAAGATCTGATTTCCATGATATATATTTACAAGAATGAAGAAAAAAATAATTAAAAAAAATGCCATTTTTCTATTGCGATTTCACAGGGTGCACAAGCTGTGGGGATGGGGAAAGAAGCTCAGAGCGTCCCCGCAGCTGCAGGGTTGTATAAGAAAGCCAACGATATCTTGGGGTATAACATTTGTCTTCCTATGTTGAAGTCTTTTGTTACTGAAGTGGAATCTACTTTCTCAAAAATGAATGAATCCGTAAATGGTGGCCGGCAGGTATGATCTTCTGGATATTTGTCTGAATGGTCCAAAAGAGAAGCTCGATTCAACTGTCATAAGCCAGGTAAATTTATAAATCTGTGACCGGCTTTAATTATGTCTCATTGGTCTTTATGATTGAGAAGATGTATGCCCCGGTTTTCGTTGTCTTCATCTAGCGTATTAGCGTATTTTCTCTTGCGGAAAACTTAAGAATTTCAAGGAATTCTCTTTGAATATGTGACCGGCTTTAACACAACATGTGATGTTAGACCAGTAGGGGATTGCTTAGTAGAATCCGGCTTGTGATTGAACGTTTTGGCATCACTCTTTTCCCAGCCTGCTATTTACGTCACAAGCTTAGCAGCAGTTGAATTAATCCGTGCTCGTGAAAGCGGCCAACAAATAATCGATTCTGTTGATGTGACCTGTGGTCTCAGCCTGGGAGAGTATACTGCTCTCGCATTTGCCGGAGCCTTCAGGTTAGTTATCTTAAATCACCCAGAATTTAATCCGATATTGTTAGGAGCCGACATAATTATGCGTGATTTGCTTCAAAGTTCTTGAAATCCATCTGTGGAACAATTGATATCAACAGCAAGTCCAATTTCGTCATGGTATCTTAAATTTGTCACCAAGCAATTGGCTACTAGATATAGACGGCTAACATATTCCATATTTTCGTTTGCTTTCACTTCCAAGCTTTGAGGACGGCCTTAAACTCGTAAAACTGCGCGGAGAAGCCATGCAGGTGAATTCTATGAGCCCTTTTCCAGCTTATGTTTTGCTTTGTGCAAGAACATTTCTGGGATGACCGAGCTTTTTGTTGAAATATGCCTGAGGCAGGCAGCTGCGGATGCGGCCAAGAGTGGCATGGTCAGTATAATAGGTCTGGATTCAGAAAAAGTTCAACAGTTGTGTGATGCAGCAAACATGGAAGTAGATGAAGGAAACAGAGTTCAGATCGCGAATTATTTATGCCCGGTTTGTACTCTGAGAGACCCTTTTCATCCATCGCCTCGAATCTTGATCTTTGTAACAATCAAATTTTACGTGGGGTTCTGCGGGTTACAGGGCAATTACGCGGTATCTGGAGGTATCAAGGGAATCGAGGCTGTCGAAGCCAAAGCCAAGTCATTCAAGGCCCGGATGACGGTACTGTTATATACATATATACACACATACATAGTCATAAATGATTCACTGCTCTAATAAATCCTTTTGGGTAAACTGGATATTCCTCGGCTTGAAAGGTGCGGTTGGCAGTAGCGGGTGCATTCCACACAAGTTTCATGGAACCGGCGGTGTCGAGATTGGAGGCGGCACTTGCAGCAACTGAGATTGCAACTCCAAGGATCCCAGTGATCTCCAACGTCGATGCCCTCCCTCATTCTGACCCACTCGCTATCAAGAAGATACTTGCTCGCCAGGTTATACACATACTTACGTGTTATATACACACTCTACAACAAGAGAATCGACCAACATGGGTCGTGTTTAAAAAATGTCACAGGTCACTTCTCCGGTACAGTGGGAGACGACTGTGAAGACCCTTCTGTCCAAAGGACTCCAGAAAAGCTATGAGTTGGGACCAGGAAAGGTATATTTTTTTTTCAAATCCGACAAAAACTTGGGACTTTTTTGGATTCATCTTGCCCTGATGCCATGTATCTATCTGTGCCATGTTTTTGTTCTTCTGAATTCGCGTGCAGGTTATTGCTGGGATCATCAAGAGAGTAGACAGAAGCGCCGAAATCGAAAACGTCAGTGCCTGAAAAATGACCATTCTACTTGCAATGTAGGTTTTTTGTTTGGTTTTTGGTCCTTCTATTGAACTATAAATGTCATTGAAGAGTTTACGCAAGAATCTCTGAGGGTCAACTCAAGAGTTTGCAAGAGATTCAAGTTTTGTATTGAATAATTGGAGACGACTCCTTTTTCTTAAAGTTCATATCACTGGAAAACGACCACTCCTCAACAACTAACCGATGGAGGGGACCTTTGTGGAAAGGTTTCAGATCTCACTCCTTCAATTCTGAATGCTGGATCTCAATCTGCGGAGATGATCGATCCATCGATCCTCTGGAACCTCAGATACCCAATCAGGAGCTGTTCCAGGGAACGAGATCCCACGCATTGCGTCCATAACCCTAGTTGCGTTCTCCGCCGTCAACGGCGACCTCCTCTGCCGCTCGTCCTCCCCAAACGCCCTTCCTATCGCCATTTCCGGCATCTCCTCCTCTTCTTCTTCTTCGCTATCGCTCTTCTGCTCCGATCCTCCGTTCAGACCAATGGAAGAGATCCGATGCTCTGCTTGCCGGAGATTGCAGTGGCCGTTGGAGAGGCGGTCGTGACGGAGGTCATCTCCGTCGACGGGATGGGAATGGTCTTCGGGTTCATCATCGCTGTCTGCATCGACGGCGGAGATCGGCTGGTAATAGTCCGGCGAATCTTCCTCCGGATTCGTGTCGGAGTCGCTCCCGACGTTGTTCTCTGCAACGAAAGTCAACAAAATCCAATAAAAAAAAATGCCAAGAACTGAGAGACGGAGAGATTCAAAGCGAAACATGTACGTATAGATTTTCCGAGTTACAGGGGATGGAACAAAGACTTCGCCAATAAAAAAATTTAAAAATAAAAAGAGCAGAGAAAGAACCTTCCATGGGAGAAGCTGGAGAAGACGAGATGTCATTCATTTTCAGGCGCGTGGGATCTTTTCTTTTGCAAAGACGGGGGTGATATATAGTTGAAGAGGGGGGAGGCAGGCCCATTTGGAGGCCCAAAATAGCCCATTAAAATCAAGTGGTAAAGCCCAACCAATTTAAAGTATATAAAATCATGTAAAACGAAGAAGCCCAATTGCATATAATTGGTACGAACCACGATGCACACCGGGAAACAAATCTGGCAAACCGATATGTATAGCAAGTTTTGTTTGCTCTTTCAGGACTGCGTACAAGTTCATTTTGAGACCATTATATATTTGTACATTTTTAAAAATAAGCATTTATAATAATAATAATAATTATAAAAAAAAAAAAAAAGAGCTCAGACAAGGCTGTATATCGTCCGAGGAAAGTCAGACGAATGCGACAGACCCAACCGTCGCAGGAGCAGATCCTCACAGCTCTTGCACCAGCCGGGAATCGAACCCGGGTCTGTACCGTGGCAGGGTACTATTCTACCACTAGACCACTGGTGCTTGTTGACATAAACTATCAATATAAAACAGAACTAAAACTCTATAGATACAAAATGCACCAAAACAAAAAAAAAAGAGCCTAAATTTTATATTTTATGCATATATTTTAATCAACAACACTTTCCACTTGTCTGTGTATTTTTTTGTCTCCTCTCAGACTATCAGCTATGCAAAATGAAGAGGATTTTCAAAAAGCATCGGACGCCACTACTGCACGTTCCAAGGAGAGAAAGGCTCGCTATATTCAGGAATTGGAGCGCAAAGTTCAGACACTCCAAACCGAAGCCACTACTCTCTCTTCCAGGTTCTTAATCTGCTCTTATTTTGATGTGCGTTCTCAGGGTTTTGCAGGATGAAAGGACTCTTGATTCTCACATTCATCATAACGCCGTGCACGAACCACCGGGTGGGTAGCTTGATATGGAAGTTTCTAGTCGTATCCTATTTCAGTTATAGCTAAAGACCGATGTCTTTGTCCACTTGTTTTCTGGTCTTGTGCAGAGAGACAAATGGACTGACTACCGAAAATACAGAGCTTAAAATCAGGTTGCAAGCAATGGAGCAGCAGGCTCAGCTGCGGGATGGTAATACGCTCGATTCAGCTACATTTTGCTCTCCGATCTATACGCATTTGGTGATGATGATGATTTATGATTATGATTCGATTTACATAATCTGTATGACCAACACGAACGCTTCACTGTTTCTGGATAAATAGCTCTTAACGAAGCCCTGAGTAAAGAGGTTGAAAGGCTAAAGAGTCCTTGGGTATACAACCCCGATGTTTCTGGGCGTTCCAACAAACGGTCAGAGTATGCAGATGCCTGTGTTCAGTCTGGGCGTTCCAACAAACTCTCAAGCTGTAGCGGAATTCCTGCATAACGACGGAGTAGGGAGATTGCAAAGGCTGGAGATAAGTAGCAACAGCTCAAGCCTTGTGAAGTATGAAGGGTCGTCACTGTCTGCTAGTGAGAGTAGCTCCGCGCATTGAGAAAGACTGGAGCTTGGAATGGGTGGTTGCTGACAAAAAAAGGATAAAGATAATTTTGTTAATAGACTGATAACAAAGTCGGAACCCTCTGATTATTTATTCTTCAGGTCCTCTCTGCGAAAAGGAGACAGCTACATTTTGCTCTCCGATCTATACGCATTTGTGATGATGATGATTGGGTTTACCTACTCTGTATGACCAACACGAACTCTTCACTGTTTCTGGATAAATAGCTCTTAACGTAGCCCTGAGGAAAGAGGTTGAAAGGCTAAAGAGTCATTGGGTATACAACCCCCGATGTTTCTGGGCGTTCCAACAAACGGTCAGAGTATGCAGATGCCTGTGTTCAGTCTGGGCGTTCCAATAAACTCTCAAGTTGTAGCGGAATTCCTGCATAACGACGGAGTAGGGAGATTGCAAGGGCTGGAGATAAGTAGCAACAGCTCAAGCCTTGTGAAGTCTGAAGGGTCGTCACTGTCTGCTAGTGAGATTAGCTCCGCGCATTGAGAAAGACTGGAGCTTGGAATGGGTGGTTGCTGACAAAAAAAGGAAAAAGATAATTTTGTTAATAGACTTGTAACAAAGTCGGAGCCCTCTGATTATTTATTGTTCAGGTCCTCTCTGCGAAAAGGAGACAGAGAATTTGTGCCTTTTATATGTATGGCTTTAGATTGGTTCTTCACCGCGATTTCGTTGGAACGTGTATGTTTGGTTGAAGGGACGAGTGAGAAGAGACATTGTAATTGTAACATTGTCCCATGTTTGTTGTCTAATTATGTATATGGGATGCATTTAAGTTTGTACTCGTGGAAAAAAAAAGAAAGAGCTCAGACATGGCTGTATATCGTCCGAGGAAAGTCAGAAGAATGCGACAGACCCAACCGCCGCAGGAGCAGGAATCCTCACAGCTCTATTGTGTGCACCAGCCGGGAATCGAACCCGGGTCTGTACCGTGGCAGGGTACTATTCTACCACTAGACCACTGGTGCTTTTGTTTAAGTACCATATTATCAAAAATTTATATTCGCAATTTGCAATTTAAGAAACCCATCACCACAGGAAGGGCGAGAGAAAGAGAGAATAACACGCAGCGGGTAATGGAGATTCCGGTAACGAGGATGGTGGCTCCTCACCCACGTCCATTGCCTCCTCTGTTTTATCTCAACCTTCCCAACTCAGCTTCGGTTTCCAGGAACACTTGCAAGTTCCTTTGTCGCGGTGCTTCGTCTGAACTCAAACCGCTTCGGTATGCTGCTCTCTTCGTCTCTCCGCTTTTTCTTCTTGAGTTTTCTTGCCCGAAGTTGTTCAATTGTACCGTAAGTTGTTCATTTTGTGCAACCGGCTAGGTCTGAATTATCTTTGTCCGTCGGAGCTCACGCTATCCCTCATCCCGATAAGGTACATGCTCTGGTTTTTTCATCAAATGGTTAACAAATACCCAAAGCGAAGGGATTTTTCATGCGAAATCGATAGTGTTGATACAGTCAGAGAAAGGTGGGGATGATGCTTTCTTCGTGAGCGGCTTTAGAGGAGGTGTCATTGCTGTTGCCGATGGCGTCTCCGGGTACCTAACAAAAGGGGGCCTCTCCCTTTTTTTGCATTTATCATTGATAAAAAAAGATGTGGGTTGATCTCAAATGGTGAAAAGTTTGTATCTTGCTCAGTTGGGTTGAACAGAATGTGGATCCTTCGTTGTTCTCCCGGGAACTCATAGCTAATGCTTCAAATCTCGTTGAGGATGAAGAGGTGTGTTTGAATATCATTGAGCCTGAAGTCGGAGTTTTACTTCAATGTTTTATTGGTTCATTTTTCGGTGTTTTGCGTTTGAAACAGGTCAGATACGATCCCGGTTTTCTCATAGAGAAATCACATGCTGCAACTGCTTCCAAAGGTTCTGCCACAATGTGAGATTTCTGTTCTTTTTCCCACGTCATAAGGCTCTCCAGTTTGCCTATCCTTTTCGATAGCTTGATACCTCTATTGTTATGGTGAAATAGTATTGTAGCCATGCTGGAAGAGATGGGGATTCTGAAAATAGCCAGTGTTGGGGACTCTGGACTTAAGGTTATTCGAGAAGGTTGCTTTAAGACTATTGTCCATTTCTTCTCTCGTCTGTTAGTTTGAGATGCGACTTGATGAGATCCATCACACATTCAGGCTTTGGCTAAGAGTACTTTTAATTCATTCATCTTTGTCATCTTTTCAGGTCAGACCATATTTTCCACAACTCCACAAGAACACTATTTTGACTGCCCCTACCAATTAAGCTCGGAAGAATCTGGTCAAACATATCTCGATGCCTCGGTGAGATAAACATGTTCAGCTTCCATAATTTGTCTTTGTAAAGAAATGAACTTGTGATCTTTTTATCTAATCCATCTCATGAATAACATAACACGTGTTGAAGACAATGGCTAGTGCTTAGCAGATAGAGCATTTATGAACCTTACTGTATTTCTCTAACACGTTTCTCATTCAACCAGTTTAATGTGGTGGAAGTAACTAAGGGAGACGTGATCGTAATGGGTTCGGATGGACTCTTCGATAACATATTCGATGATGAGATCGTTTCGGTTGTGACCAAGCACGACAATGTTGCGGAATCTGGTATGTATGTATGTATATGTATCGTGCTTCTCTTGATTGATTTTCTGAAGTCTACACTTAGAAGTGACATAGTTTTTCTTTCAAATGTAGCGAAGTTATTAGCTGAATTGGCGAGCGGCCATTCAAGTGATCCAAGTTTTGAATCTCCATACTCACTGGAAGCAAGATCCAAGGTAAATTAACTGAACAGAGTACTTATTAAAAAGCTTGAACTTGGTAGTCTTACCAATCTGCTGTTGCATAAGCCTGACCTTGTTAGGGAGAGATTGTGAATGCTGATATTATTCGTGAGAATATATTTGTAATTGGTCAGTGATATAGTAGTCATTGAATATCCTCAGTGGTAATATTATATAGCATCATAAATGAACTACCATGACATGAGTGTCTGTAACTGAGATTACCCAGATTAGCCATTTTCATGCAGCGCATGTACAAAGAATGACTGGCGACATTTCATTCGGGAGATAGCAACTATAAGGGGTACAATAAGAAAGGTTAAAACTTCTAGAATTACATCAAGAGGTGTTTGTATCTTGGGAATTTTTACCACACTCTAAGGCTGGAAACGTAATCCAGAAGTGGATTTACAGAATGTGCCAACTGTCAAACATATAAAGATGGTTTAGGTGTTGTGCTTGTATTTTCAGGGGTTTGATGTTTTTTTTTTTTGGATGAAAATCAGGGTTTTGATGTTCCTGTCTGGAAGAAGGTTTTAGGGATGAAGCTCACAGGTAACAACAACAACAACAACATGTTTGTTGATATGAGAAATTCTTTACATAAAGAACAGTTGCTCTGATTAAGGGTGGGTTCTTGACTTGATCTACAATGCAGGAGGAAAGCTTGATGATATTACTGTGATCGTTGCCAAAGTTGTGAGCTCATGAAGGCATTGTGCTTTTGTACATTGTAAAACCTACACTTCATTCTTGTATGTAACCGTTTGTGGAAATCAGATTGAGGTGTCTCAAGTATTTTAACCATTTTGTATCTCCAAGATTGTTGCAGGCTTCATTATTTCTTAGAGAAAATGAACTCGGCTCCATTCCCAAAAAAAAATAACACAAATTAATCCGAGTGAATCTTCTTTAACTCAGCAAATTTTGTAACTTGTATATCCTTGTACAATGAAGAAAAAGTACAAAACTTTCGGACAGGAACTAAACTATAGTAGATCTTTGAAAGCAACAGTGGATCAAGAAATGAACCCACCCAGGGGCTCTAATCTCTATTGCATAACATTATTGAAACCCTTGCAAGAATTTTACAAATGAATCCCCATTTGAGCTGAAGAAGATAGATCTCTGTCTCTGTGTAGCAGCTACTGAGATGGACTGGCTTGAGTTTCATGGTGTTTAATATGAGAGGTTCAGGGCATGGAAGAAGAAGAAGAAGAGCCATTAAGATGATGGAAGAAGGATTTGACGGCCTCGTAAGTGGACCAACAGATAGCAGCAGCCGGAGCATGGAAGAGCATTCTCGGGATCCATCCCCTTACAAGCCCTCTGTACCCATCTTTCTCCACGATTGTTCTCACCACATCTCTGATCGAACCGCCCACAAACACCCTGCCCAATAACACCATACTACGATTTATCAGCAAATGTTTCAAGCAACTTATGCATTCCTCGGTTGGCAACAAATGTGAATCCAAAACTAAAACAGCAGTTAGATGGCTCGATCTCTGCTGAACATGGTTGTGTGTGTTAACAACACTGACAGAAACATCCATGCAAACAGATAGGGAAGCCGCAAGTTTATGCAAACCAAACATGTTACAGATCACAGTTTGCTTTTGGCTGATTTAACTTGAAGGAGGGGCATCAAAACTTCAGTGAAGCACACAAAGAAGAAGAAAAGATTATGTTTATGAAACCATCTGTAAACAACTCAGATGACAGCATCATGAGCTAACATTGTTAAAAGGATTCTAGATTTGGGTATTACAATAACTCCTAGATTCACCCATCAATATGCCGAAACCATTGCTAGTCCTGCAGCTACGAGCTTCAGACACTTGAGCTCAACTGATTATACAATTGCTCGCCATCACAACGTCTCCATGCCTACAGCCAGCAATATTTAGCTCTGAAACGCAGCTTCTAGATTCATGAAACACTATGCTAAAAATAACAGAAGCCCTTCAACTTTCAGCTAGCGAACCTTAAAGCCAAAGTGGGAAACACGACAGTAAAACTCAGCTATCTGAAATGTAGCTAAAGGCAGTGTAAGTCGTGACATTTGTACTTCAGACACGAAAAGCTCAATCAAGAAACACTACTGCTCCTAATACTACAGCTCAACAGTAGTTCAATCTACTCCATGTTCCACTTCAGGATATCATAAATCAAACCAAACCAAAAACTCACAGGTTCAAGCGATAAAGATACGTTCTACCACACAAGTCACAAACTGAATCATTTCTTTGGTATATTCTGTCAAGACAATGCTGAAGGCTATATGTCCTATAACCTCCATGTACAAACACTTAAAGCTCCAATAGTGAAACACTACTGCTTATTGACCAATATGCCAAAGCTGACTATAGTAACTGAAACGAACCCTCACTCATATAACTAATAACCTGCTGTGAATCCTAATCCTTTGTGTTTCCTTCTAATACCAAGTAGGAGCTCGATATGAAACTTCTCACTCGAACAACAGTTCAGTGTTTATACTCCATCCATCAATGGAGAATACCACGGCAAGCTAAGAAATTGCAGATAAAACTGAAATAAAAACAACCCAAAAGAGGAAGAAACGTTGAATCACCTCACCTGACACTGCAGCTGTGTCTTGACCACGTCAAGGGGAGTGGTCACAGCAGCAGCTAACCCTCCCGCGGCGGCACCAGCCGTGGCATGGACCAGCCATCCCTCATCGTTGACGCTTTCTGGTGATATCTCCATCAATCCCCTCTTGGCCGCCTCGTAAGTGGCGAAGTGCACCGCCGTGAACGGCGCGTTCATCAAAACCGTCGTCCTGTACGACGCGTAGAAAGCTCCGACACCTTCCTCGCGCATTACCCTCTTCACGCAGTCCCACACGCCCTTGTACGTCCCGTTTCCTATCTGCAGCCTCTGCTTCACCATATCCATGGGCGTGAAAACGGCATCGCTCGATACGGTGGCGAACACGCCGGAGATCGCGTGAGCTGCGGAGTTGTTCGGATTCCCCCCTGAGAAGTACTTCTTTGAGGTCTCGTACACGGAGAAATAAACGGCGTGAGCGGGTCCGGCGCCGAGACCCATGGCCCATATGCCGCGGTACAGCGCCGACGGTCCCTCCGTTTGGATAATCGACCGGAAGGCCTGCCGGACTCCGACCGGTTTGATCGGACAGGACCGGAGAGCCTGCATATGGGTCTTGACGGTGTCAACGGGAAACATCGCCATGTGTTCGACGGAGCCAGCAATCGAACCGGCGATCATGAACTGCCAGAAACGGAGACCGTCATGGGCGGGAACGACGACCTCCGGATGAAAATCCGGCGGTTGAGGGATCGGTCGGAGATCAGATTCCTGGAATTTGGCGGCGGCGGTAGCCTCCGTCGCCATGTGGGGATACGCCCGTGGAGCAAATCGAGAAGGCCCTGAACTACGAATGGCGCGAATAGAACAACGGAGGCGAGATATGGTGAAGAAACTGAGAAATTAGGGTTCCGAGAAACCTGGAACAATGAATCTATAAGCCAGACAAAATCTGGAAACTCACGTCCGGAGAAAGGTGGAAGGGAGGCGCTTACACGCAGACGTAACAGAATCGGCCACTTCTACCCTAAGAAAAGTATGTCTTAAACGGCAGAAACTAAGGACAAGAGGACATGTCTGTGTTTTGTAACCCCTATTTCTTGTAATATATAAAACGAGTGACTGACTAGTCATTTGGAATATTAGGACAAGAATAATTAGGGATATCTGATTCTAAATTTAAGTGGTTCCGACTTTAGGATTTAGAATCTGATTCCAAATTTATTGCCACCATATATCCGAAATTTAAATATTTCATTTCATCTCATTATTACCCCAGTGTTTTGATAGTGGTAGATAATGCAGATTAACCGGAATGAGTTGGAGAAAGAAAAGTGAATTAAATATCTTAATTTTACCATCGAGTAAATATATACAGACACCGGATTTAAATCCTACAATCAAATGATCGGTATGACCATACGATCACATCCGGTCACCCCACGAATATCCAATTTCTAGCATCCAACCCGGTCGAACCGGCCCTAATTTGGAATACCACGGCACGGTTTACATAGATCTCAAGCCAAAAGACTACTCTTGCTGGCATAATTCATTAATCATTACTAATCCAACCGAAAATATTTGAATTTTAAGATATTACATCAAATTTGTCCTTACATAGCCTCGAGCCATTTTTAAAAAATAAGACGGGAAGGAAAAAAAACAGCAGCAGTGAAGATACAGAAACAGTAATGCGATCTCAAAGTGAAAATCAGTCTGAATCAGAGTCGATGTTCAAAGAGGACCTAACTGTTCGGCGTCTCATCTCTTGCCATTCATCTTCTTCACCCTCTTCCTCCTCTTTCTTCTCACTTAGAAAACCTGCTAATAAAGATCCATACTTTCAGTGACTATTCTCTAAAAGAAGATGCAATCACATCCGATCTCATCCCTCGTACCTTTTCTAATCAGAAGATTCTCCAATGTCTTCGTGCCGAAATCGTCTTTAGCACCCAAATCCTGAAACCCGATTAGCCTATCCGTCGCCACTCCCTTTCTGAGCATATCATCAGATTCACCTTGTCAAGTATGAGCTTAACATAGAGGATGTGTATATAACAATGAGAGGAGATAGTGATGTACCTGAAAAGCACAACACAAGGCAAAGTCTTGATTGCAAGCTTCGTAACAAAGAAGGGGGCATTCTGCATTTTGAAGTTTGGCTAGCATTAGGTTCACAACGAAGGGATCCAAACCCGAAACTGAGTTGCAAAAGAGAGAACTAATCCGTATTCTTCCTCCCTTTCTGGTAAAGCTTTTCACTGACCTCTGCATCCAGTTTGATGAACTTTGTGTCCGTATGCCTTGGTGTAAGGGCTTTAAGATGCTTGTCCATTATCCTACAATGGTCCATTGTATGGGATTTGGTTACAAATTGGCATTTTTTAGAAGAAAATGCTAGCCTGAGAGAGGAAGAAATGGAATTTACTTGCAACGGTAGAATTCCTTGTGGTAGAAATGACATATCACTTTCTCACTCCCCGTAACTTCACCCAAGAAGTCGCCCTCGCTTATCTCTCGGTATTCCCCATGTCCTTGCCTTTTCAATTTTTCTCGTTTCTCGGCTACTTTCTGTCCATATAGATCTTGGGGTCAGTCATCTATATCTTTCCATTTACATAAGAAAAAACAAAGAAAGATTAGAATGGTTAGATTTAAACCTTGAGGGCTGCGATCCTATCCGCATGCAATTTTTCTAGCTCGGGATCCTACAGAGCATGAGCAAGCTGAGTCTTCCATAGAAAACCATAGGCATTGAATAGAGAAATAAAACGAGCAAGCAATGTAGATGGAAAAAAAAAAGAACATACATCCATCAGTTCATCAAGATCAATCTCTTCATTGACGGGATTTGATGCTTGCGCCTTTTCTTGTGCTAGAATTTCCTGCACATCCCAATGTAGAAAGCATCAGAACGCATTAGATCTACCAATCACTGCACTAACACGTCCTTCCACCAACGTTAACATTCCATTAAACCTATATTTTTATCAAGATCATCAAACAATCCTTTCGGCAATTCGGTAAAAAGTTTTAATCTTTGGCAACCAAACAAGTTTGAATGCATTTACACACACCACCGAAACAACAAGCACAAGAGCTTCATCACATCCTTTTTTTAATATACACAGAAATTCGAAACCCTTGTACGGGAATAACGTCTGGTAATAATAAGAACTCACACCAAATTCATATTGGGAAAAACCCCAAATCTGGACACGAGAATCTTTCGCTCAGACCGCGATGATCCTCCAAAACAAAGCGACCAAGGAATTGTGCCGATAGATTAATCAATAAATAGAGGAAAAATCTCTACCTTTTGATAATCTCTGGCAGCTGCGGCCATGACACCACCGAATGCGAGATTGGACAAAGTCGACTTAACCGCGTCTGGATCCATCTTTGGCAACACTCTGTCCCTGCACCAAACGCAAGCACAACAACGCATCAGAAGAAAAACCTCGGAATGATCATCTCAGAATTCAAGCCACCCAAAGTATCAATCCGAGTTCCTACCCTCGCAAGATTCAGGCGAAGACGAAATCCCGCTTTTATCTTCCGAATGATTTTGAATTCACCTGAAGAAAACCTATACGAGAAATGGAAAAAGAACAAACGCTGATTTCAGTTCAGACGGATACAAACGAACGAAACGCTGCGTTTTGAAGGAGAAGTATTCTTTTAAGGCTTGGGTTTACTGTTCGGTGTATAAATATAATGGGCCAGGCCCAAATACTCCAAAAGAAAATTTTAGATTTTTTTAAAGCATTTAATTTCCCAGTCCAAATTATTGTGTTCTAAATAAACGCTGTATTGAGCTGAATTAGATCGCGTACTTGTGACATTCAAATAGACATGACATCCTCCTCATATAGAACACACACGTAAAAGAACAGATATGCATGCATGCATGCAACAAGTCCCACGTAGAAAGGATCAATCAAGTTCTAACAAAACTATCCATGTCCAAGTAAGACCATTGATTAACAAATACAACGACATCAAACCAGACAATGAGATCTCAAGGAAACTTGGTAATGATGTCTCTAATGAAAGCATTGATGTTACCATCAGATGAACCACCTTCTGCAATCGCAGCCCGGCAAATCTCGCTAAGTTCACGAGCCCTTCTCCTCATCTCCTTCACCTCCTCGTTCTCCAAATCCATAAATCCCTTCACAATCCCCTCGATATCATCTCTCTTGATCAAATCCTCCTCGTCCTTTCCCTTGATCCTCACCCCGACCCTCCAGTCCTCCACGATCATTTTCCCGTTCAGAATCTGATCCCAAAACAACGGAAACGCCAGTATCGGTAGGCCAGCGTATGTGCCCTCCAGAGTGGAGTTAAACCCGCAATGAGACCAGAATCCGCCCACGGCCGCATGGCTCAACACCCGGAGCTGATCGCACCAGCTCACCACTAGCCCCTGGCAATCACCGAGAGCCTCTTTCAGCACGGACGCGCCCCCACGCGCCACCCAGATGAACCGGACACCACTGTCCTTCACTCCGGCGACGATTTCGTCCATTTGGGCTTTGGAAACCGAAAGAAAACTCCCCTGGGAAATGTAAAGCACGGAGCTTTCCGGTTGCTGGTCAAGCCACCGGAGGTAATCATGATCACCACGGTTGCCATCATTGGAATCGGAAAGTTCTGTGAAAGGTATTGATGGGCCGATGGTGTAGACCGGGAAATGGAACTTGGAGGTGAAAAAGTCGACAGCTTTGTGTTCGAGCTCGTAGGCTGAGGTGAAGAGAAGGTAGTTAGCTTTGAAGAGCTCGTCGAAACACCTCTTGGCCTTGTTGAACACTTGGTGGCTGTAGCCGTGGTAGATCGCCGGCAGGTCGCGGAGCCTCGTCGGGGGTAATCCCGGGATGTAGTCCACGATCTCGTCCTCTTTGGATCCTAAAGGATCATGCATTTTCAAACAATCCCGTATTTATGCGCATCAACCATGTATATATAAATGTGGAATTCCCGGGTTTCTTTTTATCGAATTTGGTGAAAATTTTGGGGAACTAATTTCATGCTCTCTCTCTCTCTCTCTCTCTCTCTCTCTCTGGACCACAAAGCCAAAAAACGTAAGAAGAAACGGACGCATGTGGGAAACTTTTCCACTGAGGAAATTAGACCGACAAAGATGAGTTAAGTAATTTGGCTAAGTCCAGAGAGACTCTTGCTTCAGAGGGTCTTGCATTTGCATTATAGAGCTTGAAGAGGCTAAGTTAGTGCTGAACTGTCCAGACACAGCGTAACCCAAGTGGCTGTTGTTGGAAAGAGTCCTAATTACCCAAAATTTAGTCGATTTTTCCAGCCTAAGAACAGTGAATCATGGAGTAAATAATTTTCACTGGTTCAAAATATACACGAGACAAGAACAACGGAACAGAACAGGACAGTGAAGATGCTAAGTGGGAGGATCACACACGCATCTTAATGAACCGTATTACCTAATACTTCCACATGTAATTATGCCAATCAACAAAATCTAATCCACATACTAACTGTGAGTTTACATAATATAGGCATTAGGGGCTAGTTGTTGAAGATTTATGCAATTTTCGCGATAACAAGTGACATTTTGGAATCAATAACTCGATTGAAGCAAACAATCAAATCAACGAACTTTTACTGGGACTAGTTTGTCTGAATATGAAACCGAGCTCAAGTTACCTGACGGGTCGACGGGAAAGTGGCCGTGTCGGGCGAGGTCGTCGGAGTGAAGGAAGAGGGAGAGAATCGTCGCCGACATGGTCCAGAGAGAAGCCACCGGAATATTCCTCCGGCGACCGACGGCGACGGCCCAGACAACGTAAGTGTCAGCGATTATGGCGGCGGGAGGCGGCGACCCGGGCAGGCCGTCGAGGAGGTTCTCGAAGGGCTCCTCGAGCTTCGTGAAGACGGCGTCGACGAACCCGATGAAGTCATCGGCGCGAACGAGCTCGGAAGGGATGACGTTGGGGAGGGTGGCGAGTCGGATCGAGTCGGGTCTCGGGTCGGATCCTATGAACCCGGCCCACTCCTCCGTCACGACGAAGGTGACGGTGAGGTTTGGGTTGCGGTGGAGGAGGAGCTTGCAGAGGTTCATCATCGGGTTGATGTGGCCTCTGCCGGGATAAGGCATGGCCACCACGTGGCGCGTTTTGGTTGGTTGAGGCTCTCTCTGCTCCATGGGTTGCGGAGTGTGTGATCCTGGTCGGTGGTGACGATGAGTAGGCGGGGAAACGTTGTTCTCGAGTCTTGGAAAGACGGGAGAAAATCTAAATCACGAGAAGGACACGTGGCATCCTTCGGTTGGTTATACTCAGGATGAGGAGAAGGAATCTAAAACTTTAATCAATGATCATTCGCCACATGGGACTGTGTGAAAAAAACGGAAAGGTCACGTGCCTTTGACTGATTAAACACAATGCTGAAGACATTTGTTCTTTTGTTTTTTTGGTTCTCTCATAAATTTTGTTCACCCATAAATTTCGAAAATTAAAGTTTTTTTTCATATCTTCAATATTTTAAAACTGAAATTCAAATAAAAAATAGATAATTAAACTACGGTTATTGGAAATTTTTCGTATTAGATTTTAAAAAACTATAAGCGTAGAAAAAATTATCCAATATTTTAAACTTATCTCTAGTTCTCTCTAGTCTCTACACCCCTTTTCTTTAAATTGTGATGATATAAATTAGCCTTTTTCGGTGGGAAAAAACGCATTTTTTTTTCTCAAAATGAAAATATTTGGGGGTAAATTGGAAAGGGCCAATAATAGAGTGACGGGCCTCCACGTAACTGTTGGTCGGTAAGTACCAGTCTTTGGAACTATTGGACCTTGTCTTTTCCAATTTGAAGTAGGACCATGTCCTTTTCCTTAGTTGTCTTGTTTTTTTTTTTTCGTACATTTTCGACACGTCCACAAAAAATTAAAAACAAATATTACAATTCTATAAAATAAATCCTAAAAATCTAAATGTCTAAAAATTTAAAAAGTATATAGTTCACGACTAATTTAAAGGCCTATAAATCTAACATGTAATAATGATCACAACAAAAACATGGACCATCGGGCAAAACGCCAAAGGTGAGGCCACACACAAGGACGTAATCAGTAAAGTTTCAACTACATGATGAACTTTTGAAGCCCACCACTTACAGAGGAAATGGCAGGGACGTCAAATGGCCGAATTGGTAGGGGTGACAAAAGGGTCGAGCCCGGTCCAAACCCGCTTTTGGCCCGTATTTTTTTTTGGGTCAGCCTGATCCGACTATGTAGACAAACGGGTTTCGATTTTTGAAGTCTAAACCCATAAATGTTTCGGACGAGTTCGGGTTGGATACCGGAACTCGGGCTTTTTTATATATCTAGGAAATGACCATTTAATCATACGTGTACTCACATCGGCATTGAATATTTTGGATATTACTTTAGATATTTTCATTAGATATTTTCTCATCCCTCTCCCTTCACCAACCGACCCTGCAAATAAACCGTTCCAAACCGATAAAATCTGTCGCATACAGACGTTAAAAAGCTATTTAGATTAAAGGCGGATTAGACCAGGGTTATTTGGTTTAGTTTCTGATTTCTATAAATAACCGATTTTCTCCATTTTGAATGAAATAACGAAAGAAATAATGTATTGGACAAAGAGAATCAAACCCACGATAAAATGCAAACCGAATACAAACCAACCATGACAATTGCAAACGAATACAAACAAAAAACAATACCGGTATAGCTAACCAAAATCATTATCTAATAAAATATACCTAAGTAAATCAATTAAAGCACTGCAATTTAAAGTTATATTTATGTATAGTTTCTTTACAATGTATATAGTATATACTAGTAGACATATGTAAAGAAACTAGACAAATGTCACCTTCTTTACACATATGTGTGTGTGTGTGGATATTTTGTGTGTATGTATAATCATTGATATTTTGTGCTTACGTAGTTTGCATCGAAAATCAAACCCGAAGTATTATATTTTATAAGATAACAGATTTAATTGATACAATATCAACCAATCATTAATTGAGGCTTTGCGGAATGTGAAATGATTAAAAGATTGCTATAATTTTTAGAAACAAAATTCCATACCAATGCATGTTTGTGTAGAATGTAATAGTAGTGCTGCTATATATATATGTGTGTGTGTGTATATATTAATATATATATATATATATATATATATATATATATATATATATATAACCTAATGGGTCACTCTATGGTCCTTCTCTTCTTTAATTATTATTTAACATTTGTTTGGCATTGAAAAACTTAGTTTGCATTTGGACACACATGATTAAAAGACTAAATATTTTCAAGAACATGCATGGTGCACATGCATGCACGTCTACGTGTAATTAAACAAATCCATAATTCCGTCTATCATACAGATTGACTAAATGTATTTTTTTCATGGTTTGACTATTATTATTATTATTATTATTATTATTATTATTATTATTATTATTATTATTATTATTATTGAAAAATTGCATCAGAGTAGAGTTAACGATTAAATATTCTTAAATAATTATATGATATGATGTGAAAAGACAGTTATTATAATAATAAGTTCCCTGGCTTGGTGCGATCGAAAAATCCGAACTAGAGGTATTTGAAAAAATCATAATAAATTAAGAACATGATTGTTTTTTTAGTTATAAGATTCTTCCCATGACAGTCCATACATTGATATTTCGTGTACTTGTCACATGAACGTTCATAATAGATAACATAATCAAATTCAACACCACTTCTCTCTCCTTTTTTTATTTTCTACGATGAATAAAGACCTGAAATATTTTAGTATAACTTTGAGGACGAGCATTCCAGCAACAGTGGATCGATGTGACGACTTTATCTTGCAACGCGTAAAATAAAAAACTAACGATCAATCATATCAGGTCGGTCGAATAACTTAATCAAATTATAAGGGTTGAATGATGTGATGTGGATATGTGAATCTCAATAATAAATCATATAATCGCTAAAAAAATTAAAATCTACTAACTGCCCGTGTATAATAAAATAGATTTACGATCAAATTAAGTGTGTATTTCATCAATCTTAATATTTTATAGAATAGTACATACATCAGGTGCCTGAAGATGTTCGTATTCAAAAAGCAATGGAGTTAAAACGTAAACAAATGTATATTAATATGTAATGTTCTCAAGATAACGGTCACATCAAGCTGACTTGGCAGCGGATCAGAACATCAAGGGCTCAAGTAGATTGGTTCAACCTTGTTTGGATCAAGGTAACATCCCCGAGGCTTAGCCTTCTGATGTGGCAAGTGATGCTGCAGCGTTTGCCTACCAAGGATCGGCTAGTCAGATGGGGTATCCAGGTGGACACAACCTGCTCACTCTGCGGATTGAAAGACAAATCTCTCCCGCATCTCTTCTTCGACTGCCCTTTCAGCTCGGCAGTATGGCAACACTACGCCTCGCGATGTTGGAACTCACCACCATCCGATTTTCGAGATCTTGTCTCGTGGTTTAGAAGCCACGCCGTAAACTCGACCAGGAACAGAGGTACTCTCGCTAAGGTACTTTGCCAAATCACAATTGATCTGTTGACGAAAAGAAAGGAACGTCAGAACATTCCGCAGAAAGGCGAGAACGATACAACAAATCCGGATCAGACTGGACCGACATATGAGAACCCTTCTAATATCTGCGCAGATGGGGAAAACTCAAGCACATACTCGGTTACTCGAGGACTGGTACTACCACACGAACGGACTAAGATAGGCTGATGATATGCTGCTCCTAGGACCTTTAACGGAACTTTTTTACCACTTGTTAATGGGAATCCAATCTTTTGTATAAGTTTTTGTTTTACCATCGGATGTAACTTTTGGAAAATTAATACAATCACATCAAAAAAAAAAAAAAGATAACGGTCACATTAAATCAAACAATTAATGGGTACAGCTTTTCATGAACTTTTTCTTCATACGTTTAGTGCTGAAATGAAATCATCAATATAAGAAATTAAATCCACGTTGTATATATTCATGGTTGCTGTAGTGGAACTATATTAAATACATCGATTAGTAACTAGAAGCAAACGATGAGAGACATAAGTAATGTTGGTTACTGACTGAAACATTAGTAGGGTTTGTTACCTTCGGTTTTGAATGGGTTTGACTTTTGTCTCCGTACCTTTAAGTGGACAGAGAGAGAACGGGTCTAAGTTCAGAGATCTTTTTCTTGTCGTGTAATAAAGATCTAATTTTTACTGTTTAAACAATAAGAAAAGAGACTGAAAACCATGTGAGACCGAGGAAAAAGATTAAACGATCTCTAACGCCTCTGCTTCTGCTTTGAACGTAACAAAGGAACTCACTCTACATCCGATCATCACATGCATGCACTCGGGCTTTTGACTTTTACAACTTTTCTTACACACGACATCTAATTTCATGCTCTCTCTCTCTCTCTCTCTCTCTCTCTCTGGACCACAAAGCCAAAAAACGTAAGAAGAAACGGACGCATGTGGGAAACTTTTCCACTGAGGAAATTAGACCGACAAAGATGAGTTAAGTAATTTGGCTAAGTCCAGAGAGACTCTTGCTTCAGAGGGTCTTGCATTTGCATTATAGAGCTTGAAGAGGCTAAGTTAGTGCTGAACTGTCCAGACACAGCGTAACCCAAGTGGCTGTTGTTGTTGTACCAGAGGGATTTGTCGTCTTGGTCTACAAGTACTTGAGATTGTACGGTCGGCTCGTTCTGCATCTGAATGCAGAGGATCTCGGCCTGAGCCACAGCTAGTTGCATCTGAAGCTGCGAGACTTGATTCTGTAAATACGAGATAGCTCCCACGCAGCCATAGACAGGGTCTCTCACTCGCGCGTTGGCTTCGAACACTAGACTGTTCACTGCATCGACTCTCTGGTGAACTGGGAGCTCCTGAAGAGAGAGAGAGAGAGAGAGAGTACAATCAATCAATAACATGCTTGAGTTAAATCACGACATCTACGGATGCAATATTAGAGCGCAGCAAGGAAGTTCGTACAAATATGTGCGCAAGTGTGTGTATACATAGCTTTCACCAAAAGATTATAAATTTATAGTAACAATCAAAAGAACAAATGAGTTGTAGACAGAAAGAGGAGGAAACCTGAAGCATTTTGCTGACGTTACTGGCGCCGAAGACCTTATGGACGATGGCGAATTTGTGAGGATCGTCGGGAGGGAAGTAAGGAGCGAAAATACAGTCCTTTGCGCAGCGGCGTCTCAGCAGTTTACAAGACGCACATGGCGATGAACCAGCTGATCCTCCCATCTCTTATATATATATATGTATGTGTGTATATATATCTTATATATGTCCGAAAGACAAACTTTATAATTAAGGGTTTTTACGATCGAGAGGATCTCTTTTTTTTTTCCTTGTGGCGGTGAGGTTGGAAGTTAAGAGAAGGAGGAGGAAGAAGAAAGCTTAGAGAGCTAAAGAGAGAGGGTTTTGAGGTGTGTGTATTTATAATGGTTTGGAAGACTCTCGCGTTCACATCACATGTGTTCATCATTCACAACTTTACTTGTACATACATATATATGTGTGTGTATTTTTATAATATATCCTTTTTGTTTAGGCTTGTCAATACGTATGTATGTATGCATGTGCCGTTTTATTATATATATCCATTTTCTGTACACACATATACATATGATTATCCGTGTATGTTAGGCCAAACAACTATACCATAGACACGTAAATTGACGATTTTATCCCTGAGGGGAAGGAGGACTTTGTGGCAAAGGAGATGGCAATATCGTCAATATGAAAATAAATGGGATGACCACCACCACCACCGCCTAGGCGCGTGATAATGGTTGGCGTTTCATGCAGTTTTCAAGTACTTCTCCCACGTTCCTTTTGGTTGACTCTTCCCTCTCTCTCTCTAACACACGACGACAATCGTACATTAGTTCATCACTATTTTTCGTCTCGATATTCTCATTTCATATGGCAGATTGTTTTGTCCATTAATTTAATTTAATTTCCGTGTTTTATTAATAAAATCGAGGATAATGAGATGGGGTGGTTATAGGTTGATATATCTATTTAATTATAATCGGTTATGTATAAGCTATATTGTAAAAATCATGATGTTTAGAACAAATCAAGAAAATAATAAAGAGAAATATATATGGATTAATAATATACTAAACGCGTGTTAAAAAAATAGAAAGAAAAAAATAAACCAATGTATGATATACATACCATGTAAAAGAGATGCAAAGTGTTCGTACCGCCTGAATTTAAAATTTAAGTTCAGGAGAAAAATGCATATTCTAATTATATGGATTCTTCGCGATATTTGGATTAGTTTGGATTTCTACTCAAAAAAAAAATTGAGGGGTATAATTTGCCAAGTTTCCATTTTTTTGAAGTAAAAAATATTTACCAGTAAAATAGATAACTAAGAAAAACATACGAGAATTTTTAATCTATTAAGGAAAAAAACATGTTATATGGTTATGCGATCTTGAAAAAATATATATATATGACACGTGGGCGGCCTATATTTGACCCACTTTTTGGTTTCCTATTTGCGAAATAAAAGAAAAGGAAAGGTTAGGATTTATGGTTTAGGGACTTGACTATAGGAGTGATAAGGACGTACGTGAAACCCTAATTCGGACCAAAGACTCCCGAGAGAAATGGTCTCAACGTGAATGTTTGTTGGCTCGGCGGACATTCACATGAAAAGTGCAACCGTTTCTCTTCTCCCACGTTAAATAATTATTTAAATTTATATATAACACATAATTAAATATATATACTACTCCCGAGTTTTGATGTAAAGGAGACCGATTAATTAAGACAATAAATAATTCACAATTAATGGAAAATTGTGAGATAGAAAAAAGGGGCAGATTCTCTGAGGTCAGCGACTTCGATGCAACTCTTTGTCTTATTTAACTTATAAAAACAATGGTAAACGCCCTCCGTTCTTCGTCTTCTTAAACAATTATAAAAAAAAGGATATTATTTTAAATTCCTTTTTGAATTTGGTATTGTGAAATTAGTTACATGTCTCAAATAGTTATTTCTTTTTACTAGCTATTGTTAAAGATACATATTTTTGTTATTAAGTATATATATTAATAAATAAAATTAATATTTGATAATATGTATGCATAGAGTTTAGAGATGATCAAAAACCATATAGATGCACATATAATAATTTAATATCTTGATTTGGCGACAAACATTATACATCGATTTTAACTCCCCGGTCTATAACCGACCTTTTTAGATGCGTAGAAACTACACACGCAGTATTCAAAAAACCTAACGTTTTTTTTAAATATATATAAAATTGTTGGATATTGACTCGTAATATTGTGAAAGAGTGCGAAATTCAGATTTTTTTTCTTTTTTTTTTCTCTTTGTATAAACATTGTATGAAAAAAGGCTTTATATATATATATATATAAATAAAAAAAATAAAAAAGGGAGGGGGTGAAGAGAACAATTAAAATAAGAGCATTAGCAACAGAGGAAATTAATGCGAGACTCGCAAAACGAGATCCGACAGAAGCTACAATTAATCGAAGAAGGATATGGACATGCATGTTAGTTCATGAACTGAGTCTCTAAATGTCTGAAATTGAAGAGATTCTACCAAAATATAATAAAATAAAATTACGTAATCACATTTAATGCACACCCACGTGATTCCAAGCTTCTAATCCTTTGTTCCGAGAAAAAAAAAAGAAACAGCTCTCTTTTACCCCTAGCTTTCCGTGGCTCCTTCTACTACTACATTTAATTTCTCTCCTCTATATTATTATTATTATTATTATTATTATTATTATTATTATTATTATTATTATTATTATTATTATTATTATTATTATTATTATTATTTGTCTCACTAAAATTATTATTATTATTATTATTTGTCTCACTAAACTTTTTTTTAATAATTTCTCTAAAAATATTTTGAATTTCTTAAATCTGAGAACCACTTCTTTAATATATATGTATATATGCAACCTTTGAAAAATGACATACAACCTAAGAAAAGCATAATTAACTCCAGAGCGTTAATATATTTATTTGGTGTTAGAAAGCGAATAAAAAGTGTTTTTGATACTCTTAATAACAACAAAAATCATGGGCATTTTGCGGAATGTCCATACCTAAAGTGGAGGATATGAAACCATTTGACCAATTTTGTTCATCACCCACAATATATATATATATATATATATATATATATATATATTAAAAATCTCTATTTAAATTTAATTCCCCAAAAAACTAACAACTTGGATGCGCAACAAGGCGTCCAACAATTAATGTATGATGAATCAGATTTGTCTTTTTGCCTCCCCAACAAATACATAAAGTATCATATTCTATAAAAGAATTACCACTTTCTCTTTTTTTTTTCCCTCCAAAAAAGGGAATGGGCAAGGGAACACTTTGATCGATAAATAATTTCAGCCCATATATTAATTTTGGTCACTCCATCGACGTCTTATTTCAATATATAGAGAGGTTTAGGACCCAAGGCTGATTTACAACAAAAGAAACATGATGAATACCACAATTATTAAAAAAAAACATATTATATTATCCAAATGACTCATCTAGGATAAGATTTTTTTCCTTTAGTAAGAGGTATCCAGCAGTAACAAACAAAAATCGTTAAGTTGAAATCGAACTTTCAACTTAACGGCTCCGGGATTGACTCGCATGGTTACCAAAAAAAAACCTTCAACTTATAATTAATATCTTGACCTAATTCAAGAAAAAGAATTACGATATTTCTATTTGTGTGTTTGTTATCATCATCACGTTGAATATAACAGGAGGACCCATCTAGGAGAAGAATGGTTTAGGTTAAGGAACATACATATATATATATATATATATATA